ATCAACCGAAAGCTTTATTTCTTCAAGAGATCATAACTCGTGAATCATTAAGAATTGAAAAAGTTTAAGGTTAAAAATCTTAAATAGCTTTATCCGGGGTAAATAGTTGATGTTTTCGATCGGCGAGCTTCGTCGGTTTCTTCTCGATCGGCGATTCGTTCGCCTTGTTTCTCTTCGATCTTGTGGCGGTCGATGGAGCGACGTCGGGATGCTCTGAATACAAAAATTTGCATTCAAGTATCAATTTGCGTATCTAGCTATGTAGATTTATAAGTCATTTTCTCGCCGTCTCACTTTGTTTCCGCTCGATTTCTTTCGCCGAGCCTTTCTCCTTTTCAATTCCCCTTCGCCGATAATCGTTTGCTCTAAAAGGTGCGAATTTTTACCGTAATCTCGAAAAACTTCATACCAATCATTGCATGCAAATCGCCAAGTCCAAGACATCTCAACAAACAACCGAGGATTTTCAGAGCACGATTGACCTAAAGAAAAATCGATGTAAAAATGAAGTTAAACAAATTTGGAAGATATTCAGTCGTAAAGAAAGATATTCAGTCGTAAAAAACAGGGTAATTTGGAAAAAAACTATATCATTTCTTCAGTATCCTTTCTTCAGATTCTATACTTTCTACTTAATTTTCATCTTCTTCAGTTCATGATTTTCAATCGAATATGTTTATAGAGTAGATCGGATAGAAACCAAAGGAAAAATTACGATAGCTTTTCAAGTTATCTACTTTTTAGAAAGCACCAATTAGTAGAATAAATTTGAATTGAAAAAATCACCTTTCCGACGACGAGCACGATCATTGCGAGAAAAGTGTAAGCAATGAAAAGGAATGGCGATGAGAATAACGAGAGAAATCCCAAAATGATACCGAATGGCACACCGACAATGCACAGACAGATTGCCTAAAAGAAGGACTTTTTAACTTTTCCCCGAAAGTTTCAGATTACCTTAAACCGTGCGAACTGCGTCTCCGCTTTTTGTTAGCTTGTCGTATTCAGCGAACCGGGTTTTCTGGATCTAAAATTCAAATTGAAAGTTGACCATCAAATATCAACCAATCTTGTCTCTGATAGATGACCAATGGGAAATAAATGGCAATCCAAATTGGCATCACGAACTAAATGAAAGATTTGAGAACTGGGAAAAGCTACTGTAATCTTGCAAAGCATTACTGGAATTATTCACAAATTGGATTAGCCTATAGCTACTACTTCATTTGTGCTTGAGCTCTAATTAATGTAATGATTGACCACGAGAATTAGTGGGAGAAGTGGTGTGAAGAAGAAAGTCCCGAGCCGAGATCCACCATTCAACCAGCGATATAAGAGATAACGACGATCGAGATCATCGGCACCCAGGCGACATTTCCCATCTAGAACATGAATCAAAATCTTTACCTGTACCCTTAGCATTTACGAAATAAGTAGAGTACGTTAGGCGCTTAACAGTCCACTATTTTTTCCCCATTGAAATCTTGCTTTGTGACACGGATAACCTAGGCTATCTTATGTCATAAAGTATCGTACCCTTATAGGACACAAAATGGAACTTTCCATTTTCTAACTAAAGTGGATCTTACCCAACTATTAGGTTAGCCCATAAGTCTTCAGACACTTTTTCTACTAGCGTTTATAAATGGCAAATTCACCAGTTGATCTACAATTGACTCCATCAGAAAGGCCCATTATTTTTCTACAAAATGACGTTCGAATCTTATGAGAATGTTTTGTCTATGGTTTTTTTATGGGGGCGCGAAGTCGGGTAGCCAAAAAAGGCGACAATCCGAAGACGCAATTCAGGCACTCTGATCCACAGAAACCCATGTTGCTGTCAATAGATAAAAGATAGAGCGCAAAAAGTTCAATGATATATAGCTGAATTTTCAGGATAATCTATTCAGCCGATTTCTTTATAGAGCTTTCTTTTCTCTTTATAGAATTTTACGAAAAACGAGTTTTTGCACTCGAATTTACTTAGAAACAGACCCAAATCGGCTCGAAATGATAGAAAAGTTAGTGCTAAACGTTTTCTATTTGGAGCAAACCGTAGGTTGAATTGGTCATTTATAAACACTAGTAGAAAAAAGTGTCTAAAGACTTATGGGCTAACTTAGTACAATAAATACAAAAAAGACTACGTCACTCTCTACCGTATCCTCTAAACCCCCTTATCCGCAAAGTACTGTATCTCTTTCCATTGAAATCTTACAGAACTTCAAGGAATACTAGAGAAATTTAACTAACTTTCAGACAAACTCTGGCAGTTATCTGTAAACGTTCAGTGTCTGGTGCAATGAAATCTTGAAGTCTTGCAGAATTCGGTGCACCAGGTATTAAAAGTTTACGTAAATTTTCAAAGCTAAACTTTTAAACTCACAAATGAAATGCTGAAGCGAGTCGGTGATCTCTCCACAATCCCAGCAAAATCTCGTTTGACAGCGCTTATTCGCACATTCCACCAGATGACAACCAACTCGTTCACCGTAAACGTTCTGAAAGAAAAATATGTGATTTTCAAAAGTTTTCATGATACTTCAAACTGGTGAGAGATCACTGAATGGGTCTAAGAAATTACTTTGAAAGTCACCTACCAAGAATCGGGCAAGCTTTTGTCATTTCGACTCCACCGAACGCTTCAATGATTTGCTGTTGTTGATGTTGATGGAGAAGATCGATTCGATCACTCAATGACATCAACGAATCGAGTGATCTCTAAAAAGAAATATTATCAACTTTCCAAATCCATAATTTACCTCAAACGGATCAAGCACGATCTCGACATCGTTCTCGTGGATTTCCTTTTTACAATCACTCACCGGACACTCGAGCAACAACTTTTTCGCGGTGATCCCTTGCTAAAGATGAACTTTTGATTGTGGGAAATTTAATACGCGCCCCGCCCCTTCCTACCATTAGCAATCCAACTTTGAGCTCGAATTTTAGGTGTTGGGCTGTTCAATTTAATTAGTTTTTGGACCAATCGACAGAGAAAGACTTTGGCGCATCTAATGATACCAAAGGATATTTAAATTAAACAGCCCAACACCAAGAAATTTTAGCTCAATGTTGATTGCCAATGGCCAATGGTGGGGCGTCTCAACTGACCGATAACTTGAACTTTATTTAACATTTGGTAAACTTTTGGTCTCTAGTCTGCTGGAAGCAGTCGCTCCGTCAGATTCCGAGAGTTTACGACAAACAACAAAGTATACAGTAGCCAAGCCTCACAGTTACCGTAAACTTTCGGTATCTAGTGCATCAATTATTCAACTAATTTACTAAACATCGGAAATCTACAAGACTTAAGACTTACTTGATAGTGCTGTAGCAGATCGGGAATGCAAACGAGATGAAAACAATCCCTCAAAACGACTTTTTTGTGTACAAGACTAAATGGATTTGACTTGAATTAAGGTAAATAATTGAAACCTTTTTTGCAAAGAGAGCAATTCTTGGGATCATTGGATGAGTTCTCCACATCGTTTTCCTTGATCACTTTCTTCCCATCATCGATCGACCGCCCCGCTTTTAGTGGCATTGAAAAATAAAACCGATTTCTAGAATCAGCTAATCAACTTGTGAACATGTATGTAAATTTATATATGTAAATATATAAATTTAAAATATATGTGTAAATTTATGCCAATTTCGAATGCAAATTTTCTTTAAAAGCATACTGTAACTCTTTCTATTGGTGTTTCTCACCTTTGATTCTCATTTGCTTAAGGATTTTTCCGCAGTTTCCATTTTTTGTCTGTCATTCTCAAAAAAGTCGACTTTTTCGCTATCCAGAGCAAGAAATTCCCAAATTCAATCCAGAATCAGAACAAAAACCAGAATCAAGTGTGGAATCGCTTTTTTGTTGTGCACACTTGGGTAAGCTAATATTTGAATACAAAGATTGAAATGAGATATTTAAAATCTTCAAAAGCCAAAAGTTTAAACATTCAGCAGCTTTGGAGAATTGGTGATAGGAAAAGGAGATTGAAGAAGAGATTTTAAAAGGAGAAAATGATAGCGATGACGGGGGAATTGTCCAGGTTCTATTTTTTTTTGGTAATTGTTCATAAATGATATCTTTTATTAAAAATAAAAATAAAAACAATATCAAAAACTGTACAAAGCAACGAAGCAGAACAAAAAAGGGGTGATGACCATCAAAATGAAATATCACAAAGCAACACCCACTAAAATGGATAAATCCCCATAAATTTATGGCTATTTTTGATATTGGGTGTTTCTAGGCATAGTTTTGCACAAAATGATAAGTGAAAAATTGAGAATCCTTTCAGAAATAAACATCAATGAGTCGAGAGAAAAATGGCAGCAATAGGGTTTGGGGTTTTATTGTTGCAAAAATAAAGAAAAATTCATCATTGAGTCTCTCGGGGGAATAAAGCTGAGTGGAAATTGAATAGGAATTATAGTGGAAACTGAGAATTCTTGAATGGAGAGAAATTACTGGGATAAGACCTGCTGATTAGGGTTCGTTTAACTTTTGATATACCGTAACTATTCTAGAGGATTGTTTCTATTTTTAACTAGAACTTAGATGATCTTTCTTTTAAAGAATACCTCTCAATAAAGGTTAGCAATACCAGTTCAAAACACTGATATTAATAAGTGCCAGATTTTTGGCTTGTTTTGGCTTGGCTGGCCCGAAGATTACCCTTAGACCAACCCTGGGAGGCAATACCAGAGATATTTGCATTGAAAACACAATATCACTGTGTCTGGTACCAAATCGTGTACCAGAAATCATGCAAACAGTCTGTTTCTGAGGATTAGACTCTGGTTATAGATCTAATCTAACAAATCTGGTAATAGGGCACCCTCCTAGTAGAATAGTTACGGTTATTTATCGAAAACTATAGCTGTAGAGAACGAAGAAAAATAAATGAGAAACATTTTCTCTTATCGTATCACCTGGATAAATGAAAGTGTCTGAGTTGAAATGTAAAAACGGGTTGATCCTGATATTTTAGAGATTAGACACTAGTGTTGAACCCATGAACGGCTCCCTTCGAATTCCCGTTTCGAAGCGATTCCGGTGTTGAGGCATTGGGTGGAGATTGGTACGAATCAAACCTAAAAATTAGGACTTTTGTTTGAAAAATATTTACACATAAAGCTTCAGAGCCATTTTTTAGCAACGATTTCTACTCTAATCTAATGCCAAGCATGACAAAACTGGCTTGCACTTTGTGCTCGGTAAAAACGCTCTCTAACTCACTCTCCTGAAAAAAAAGTATTGCTTAAGTGTGTCAGAGAGTGCGCTTAGGTGAGTACAAGTACGGGCATGCCTTTGACACAAAAAGTACTGTGAAACCCCAGTATAATTACTCATTACAGTACTACAGTTTCAAGGCTTCCAAGTTTGTTAGTTGGTCAATTTTAAAACGATTGAGCAAGACTGAATATTCTTTATAGAGGGATACTGTAGTGAGAAATGATATCAACGCTTTACAGTACTCCGTTCCGTCTTTTCTATATCATACACTCGTTTTAAAGCCTTTCAAGGCGTGCCCATTTCTCGCGGACTCAGGAGTGGAAACGGTCGAGGGATTTGAGTGATTTGATTGATTTGATTGCGTTCTGAAGAGCTTCTTTCCCTTCTCCAATATCCTTTTCTTACCTTGGCGGCACTTTGGTCGGTGTGCCTCCATGTGGTGTCAGTGGCGCTCTCAACTCGTCGCTGATATCAATCGGTCGAATCTTTGGATGAAGTGGTTCCGCTTCCATCGACTGAATCTCATTTATTAATAAGCTTTTGTACTTCATAGGAAATGAGTGTAAAATCTTTTTTTTGCAATTGCAAAGAAAGATAAAAGTTAGCTTGAAATTCGTAGAGACTGATGGGTCAAAAAGAAATTTTTTTTTGACTCACGTATGGATGTTTCTTTAAACTTGGCGTCCTCGACGGGGTGATTCCATTTGCGGCCGCTTCTCTTTCCTCTTTTCTTCGCGTTTCTTCTGTTTCATGCACCAGCAGCAAAGATAGATCAAAATGAGGACAATGATGATGGCGACAGTGCCTAAATATGGAATAAATATATACTAAATTCTAAAGACATTACATTAACCAGCGCTTAGAAGAAAATGATTGAAAAATTATGAAAAATCGACTTTTTTTTGTCATTTTTCAATCATTTTTCTAAGCGCTGGTTAATGCTAAAAATATGTATTATATCTCAAAAAATCACCCATTCTCTCTACTTTAATTTGATACCTAAGCGCGCAGAAATAAACGTACTGGTGCTGAGATATGAGCGTTTGTTTGAGAGTAAACTTAGACTAGGCGACGCTCTTTGAGGAGGCCGTTCTATTAGAATATTTACGGTATTCAGTTAAAGGCACGCACAAAATCATCATTTTGTACAGAATATAGTAAAAAAATAAAAAGCTGCGAACCGAGAATTGCAGCCAACCAAATGAAGAAATTCTCCTCTTTCTCGAGATCGACACCATGGTTGATCACCCTGAAATGGGGTTGAGATCACTCTTAATTAGGAATCCTACCTTATTCCATTCAAATCGATAATATCCAAATTGATAATTGAGTGGTTCTTGTTCTCGTACTCGGCTGTCACGATACGCTCTCGATTGGCTACCATGCCGCCTAAACGCCAATAAGTATGACCGAAAAGCGTGCCGCAGTCTAATAAGACACCAGAAATACCGTATCAGAAATACCTAAAAGTGGTCAGGCTCACGCGCGTATAAAAGAACGCCTTTTTCCAATTTAGTCAGAATTTTCTCTTATTTGGTCTTGGGAAAGTTGTTTTCTTTTGTTCGAGATACTTCCACAATTTTCATCCAAGTGATTCCTTTTGTCTCTGGATCAACACATTGTTTCTTGGAGTTTCGTTGAAATATTTTCACACGCTTTGCTCCACGTGCATTGAATAAACCTGGTTTTGTTATTGATTCAAGCGAAAGTGCACAGGTCTAGCCACATCTAGTGAATTCAAGGAAAAGCACACTAGTAATTCGTAATACAAAAGCAAATTAGTTTTGATAAATAGTTTGCCACCCTGGCTATGTCACTCACATTTGTACTCGTGTGTTCCTTTTGTCCAATGCGATTGGAAACATTCGAATTGAGCGACATCTCCATCCAAATAGGCGCTATCCATTGAGCCGACTTTCATCAAATATTCCGGATACTCGATGTTGATCGGTCCACAAGAGTTATCTAAAAAGCATAGGGTTTACAGAATATTTTGTATTCAGCTTCTACTTGTCTCCAAATTTATCAATAAAGGCTTTTTTTTCTTGCACTCACATTGTCGAACGGCGTCATTTCGGAGATTGATATGCGAGTTCCAGGATTTATAACTCTCCTCACCGATCACTTTCGAATTCAAAAGGGCATAGTTGTAGAGGCAAGCCCAATTGTCACCGCATTCCTAAAAGAAACACTACGTGCAAGTCCTGCTATCCATTATCGATGACTATTACGGTAAGCAACTGCATAATACTACAGTTCGTTGCAAAAATTTCACTTCAACTTACAGCGATCACTTCCGAGGGCTTATTTGGACAGGTTGAGATCCCGTAGTCAACCATTACATTTGAGGCTTGGGGTTGCAAATTGTCTAGAGAATTTAGGAAGTTAGTTTACCCAATGAAAAATGAAAATTCAAACTCACAATTGGGATTTTGCTCCATGTCACGGCAATGGTTGAGAATTTGGATAAGGACCGAGCCGGTGATTGGGTAGAAGGATTGTTTCCACTAGAAACAAAAAAAACATTAGAAAAATATCTATATAAAATTAGTCTAACAGTATATTATTATAAGATATTATTAAAATTAAAAAAAAATACATTTCATATTCTTCAGCCGCTTTGTAAATGGGCCCACTGCGCATTGCCGACTCGGGAAAAACCTGGAAAATTTGTATTTTCTTTGGACAATTTCTATTCAATAATATTCAAGTTTACTTAAAAATGCTAATTTTTTACATTCAACTTTTCTCACATCAAATTTGCTGTCCTCTTGTTTACTCGCGGTAAACATGTTATCCGTTGGAATGTCGCTGTTGTATTGGGTATTCAGATTTTGATCCGATCCACTCTCACCCGTCCCATGGATTTTGTCTGAAATTTAAGCAATTCAATAAGTTGGTAATTTGAGAAATATCTGCATTGAGTGTTTAATAAATGCACTCACAATTCTGGACGATTTGCTGTCGATACGATTCCGAGTTGACGTCTTGCATCTGAAGATCCCTTTGCCATTGACTGCTCATCGTTTGTTCGGGGAATGGCCGCATCAAACCAGACACCTAAAAAAGTATCGAAATTTAAAGTTCGCTAAGCGTATTTGGACAATGTTGTCATGGAAATTCCAAGATTGAATCGATTCGCCTAAATTTCCCAGACGATATAACTTACCTTCGGTAAGTTGTACCGTTGTCGGATCTCGTTCTCTCGTGCCTTGTCTCCATCAGGACGCTGAAACATAAATTTTAGAGAATCAATATATCAACTTATCTTCAAGCTACAGTAATGTCTACTGGAGTTTTTAGATAATTTCCATTTTCACTCACCACTCCATATTGCGGCGGTACCGAGAGGGCAACGTTGAGCATTCCAAAACTCTCTTGATAATTCATGAGCCGATCGATATCCCGATTGAAAGATTCTCTAAAAAAACCTTGTTCTATAAAAATGCTCCAAAACTCACCGAATCCTCACTCCAATTTGTGCCTCTTCAATACCACATAGATCTCGGCTTGTCCTCTTTCGACGCTATTCACATAAACGAGAACGCCTAAAAATGAAAGCTTCTAACTTTCCCTGTTCTGTGAATTACCAGTGAATCGTTGAATGTGCATTGTGTCAAAGTATCGAAGAATATTGCCGACGATGACACTGGTTCGGTATCGGAAACGCCGAGTGTCTTTCCTAGCCAACACGTGCACTCTAAAAGGATTGATGATGGTTTTAAAGTATCTAAAAATCTATTCATCAAAACAGCTTATGCTTAATATCAATATTGTAATCAACCAATTTTATGATAACTGCTTACCGATCAGTTCCCGTTGCTTCAATCGCAATTCCGGTGATCACAGTGGCGTTTGAGGGTTGGACCAAGTCTTTCTGTGGCATCCATCGTCCGAGATAACCTTTAGAAAACTCAGTTTTGCTATTTAGCTCTCAAAACTTACTGAAATCGACTTTTCTGTTTGGATATCGCTCGAGGCGAACTTGAATTCGGACTTCTGGAGTCGTGAGCGTCTTTGGGATGTAGAGAAGAGTGTACACGCCCGGCTCGTTGAAGATGAACTTGTCATTGTCAATCGTATTGAATATTCCGGCACCCATTGCTTCACCTGTACAAAGATCTTGCTTGTACCAGTAATGTAACTATAGTCTTCTTCTTCCCCCTTGTCTTTCCTTCTTTCTCTCGGAAATTTAAGGTCGGATACTCCAGTGGTTAGAGCAATTGCCCGGAAAGCGAAAAGGTCAAGGGAGGGTTCAATCCCCTCTCCGGAGTTTTCTTTTTACCATTCCTTACTTTACTTTATTACTGTCAGTCTGTAGATTAATCAGTGTACTATGGTGTGTACTATGTGATTAGTGTACTATGTGATTAGTGTACTATGTAGTGGATCAAATTTCAAGAACAAACCGTAAGCGGGCGGTTGATACTCTTGACACCCAGAAGACGGTCGCCTCCAATAGAACATTTGACATCGGAAATCGGAGTACTTGCAACACAAGAAATACGGCATATAATCGTTGTGGAAAGCTGATAAACCCGGTACCTACAGTCATATAGAAATCAAAACTTTACTAGCTTTTTACCTCCCATTGCCCCATATACGGTGATGTGCCGAACTCGTAGGCTCTCAGCGGGAACCCGGGATTGTACGGTACTTCTGGTGTCACCTAAGATTCTCAAGTTTAAAAGAAAACCCCGGAGTTTTTCTCACCTTTATCACAGGCTGATAACTGGTCTGCATGAGAAAACCCTCTTTATCGTAACAGCACACTTGTCCATAGTGAGTGGGCACACGACTGAAAGCTCTTTGCTAGCAGAAGTTTGGAAATATGAAGATTCTTCACTGGATTTTACGTGAGTCTTTAGAAATTCTCATTCTTGTTCCAAGAATTTCGATTTCTTCTCAAAACTTTATTGGACTTTTATCCCTTAGAATCTGTTCTTGATCCGAGAAATTTCGTCTCCGCACTCCGAACAAACCTTGTCGTGTGTGAGGTGTCCGTTCTGCCCGATCCCGCATACGATCCGTAAACATTTTGCGCCGACATGTAGCAATTCCGGGCTCCGATCGATTGAGTGCAAGTGATATCACGGAAAGTCTAGAATTTTTTGCGCTAAACTTTTTAAAATCTTGTGCAATACTTGAGAGCATCGTGGATGTGGCATAAATCGGCCCAAATCGGCCATCGCTTGTCGCTCAACACACGGACAAGAGGCATTCGTTTCGGTGTCCCGGATGAAATTCGATTGAGCTCCGTCCTCGTTGTACCTGACAAAGGAAAGGGAACAGTAGGATATGTTCAAAGCCATAGACCATTCAACGTAGAATTTCACGCTGATTCCGAATAGAACGCTTGCATACAAAACGAGCTCTGCGTTTTTTTGCTCGAGTTCGATTTCTTTTAGCAAAATTGTTCTATTCGGCTTAAAACTTAAAACACGTATAACTTTTATAGAAAGCCATTTTGCAAAAGCGAAATTCGGAATCAGCGCATGAAATTCACCGTCGAATGGTCTATGGCGTATCTCATTTGGCCACATCCTACTGTTGCCTTTCCCTTGTGAGAATTTAGGTAAACAAAGGCCTTTGTTATGTTATTGATTCATTTCTTTTAGCTTTTCACAAAAACAAACCAATCATGACACATTTGCATGGCCTTCTTCTTCACGAAATCCACTCGACTCTGCTCTTCTTGTTGACTATAGGTTGTCGTCTGATATTCGGGATTGTTCGTTGTCCACATCCAATGCAGCGAAATTGGATGAGAGACGAGTCTGAAAGAATTTGTAATAAAGAAGTGAAGGGATTGGCAAGAAAAAACAGATTTCCGGAGAGGAGATTGAGCTTTTTTTGCTTTCCGGGCAATTGCTCTAACCACTGAGCTATCCGGTACCTTAAGAAGAAAAGAAGAAAGAAAAAAGGAAAGAAGAATAAGCTATCAAAACCCATTCCCACCCAGCCGGCAATTGAGTGGGCCGTTGTTGATCAAGATTGATGATCGGAGCGAGCTTGAGGTATCCAAAGCGATACGTGTACAACTCGTTCATCCGCTCCCAATCCGTCATGTACCATTGCTCAACCTGGAACAAGAACTCCTTTTCAATTTTCAATTTTTATTTAACTTGATTCAAATTGATCCTTTCTTCTTGCGGTCTCCACCGGTATTCGTATTGATTTTTGTTCGCGTACGATCCCAAACGAGCAATGATTCGATGCTCAGGGCGGAATTTTTTGATCTGAACAAATGCTTTCAATTTAAAGATTCAAAGATTTTCACAAACATTGTCATCTTTGAACTCCTTGTAGCCAATCACATAAAGTCCCAACTGAACTGAGTACATCGAATCGTCACTAGAAAACAGGCCGAGTTTTAGCATGGATTCATCGTTTACCTGATCCTCGCTCCACCCGTGTCCATGCGATTGTTAAGGTCAGGATTGGTGAAATTTCGTGGATACCTAAAAATTAGTATTTTCAAAAAAAAAAATGCTAATTGGCGTACCAAGAAATTGGCATGACGATCGTCGGCAACGGATTCTTGAACCAATCATAAATGCTGCCAATCTCAAGCCGTTGAGGATCAAGTGTAGGTGGCACTGAAATCCTAGATTCATCCAGAAATTACTCAAAAAAACCCACCAAAATAGATATATCCAACGAAAGCTTTCTCATCATCACCACCACCGCCTCTCGGTTGGAAATAAACCGTTCGTGTGCCCCAATCGAAAATTTTTGGAAGCGAGCAACGAGCGATTGACGGATTCAACACTAGACAAGTGGCTACCTGAAGTTTTTTTGTTCTTAAAAAGATCTTTTGCCATGACCGACTAGCTAAGAGCTCTATATCTTAGTCGAGAGATCAAGGGTTCAATCCCGCCGGCTAGATTATTGGTTCTTTTATATTTGAGCTATGGCTAGATATATATGAGTTTTCCCTACATTTAGGGCTTAAGCTTGTGTATTTTGTTTGTACGATAATTTTTGAATAAATGTATGTATTAAAAACCCTTCCTCTGCTCAATCATGAGAATATAGGATTTCGCTCGATCTAAGCACATTGCATTCACATCGACTGTCGTTTCACCCAACATGTTCACGATATTTGGGTAGATCATCATTGGGACTAAAAGAAAAATTGCTTTAGCAAACGCAAGGCTTTTGGTGCTTTTAAATGAATAATCAAATGAACGACCAAGTTTGCTAGAAAGTGCGCGCTTGTATCAGCGCCAAAGTACAAGATTGATTCACTTACATGTGCCTCCAGTTTTGTTCGAGCATCCACCCGGTCGGACGACGTCATCCACACGGAACATGTACCTGAAGTTTTCTTTGTGTTTGGTGATTTTCCAGAGTCAAAGGTACTATAAAAAGCTGGTTGCTGTGCAAATTCTGAACTTTTAACCATAAACAGACAAAAATTCTGCTTGTTAATCCTTTTTAGCTCATTTGAATGTACAATTTCATTGGTGATTTGTTGAGCTTTCAAACTCTGCTTACCGTCCTCGAACCATGTGTGGGACTCCCGATTGAGAGGCCAACACTTTTGGGGAGTTCTTGTACATTTGCGTTGGATCGACGGGCACCATTCCTGTGTGATTTCCACCGTTGAAGAGAGCCTGAAATTTTAATTTTTTTGAAAAGAAACCAACTGGATTTTTAATTTCAAGCATCCCTGAAAGCAATCATTGAAAATCCTTGTAAATTTGTCTCACCTGACAACGCCCTGATCGAGAATTCCCGCGAAAATCGGCCGCATCGAAGCCAAGCCGATCGTAGTTGAAAATCACGTAGGAAAGTCGAGCGTTCTACAAAAATATTTGCATTTAAGAATTGATTGATTTTGCTTTGTTGATTTTGTCATAATCTATTTAAATAATATTTTAGAATGAAACAAACGCTATCAGTAAGCCAAATGAGTTGATATGTGGCCAGTTGACCGGCGTCCACATCGGATCTCCCGGAAATCGCAGAAGCGGTGTTGAACCTGAGCACGAGACAGTAGAACTATATATAACTTTACCCTTAACTTTTAAAGTCGGCTAATGCACTACAGCGAAATTTTTGTAAGGCTAACACTGAGTTTATCTGAGGTTTAACTTTTGTTTCAAGCAATTTTGCACCCACCACGTAACCACGAGAGCCGCATCAGCTCGGAACATCTGAGCCCCAGCGATTCCCTCTAAAATTCGTCTTTTAAAAAAGTTCTAAATGATTAGAAGAATTTGAAAACTTGAACTTACTGTACTTGAAACTATAAATAAATTTTATAAAAGCTAAAATTTAACCTTGCAACCAGTTCATCCACTCGTTCAGCTGGTAATCACTCTCTTGATTACACCGTGCATAATTATTCGGAGTATTCGGGCATGCCTACATTGAATATATTTGATTTTTTTTTGAAAAATTTGAATCTATTACTTGTCTCATATTCTGCGTAAAAAACGACGATGGCATGCTTCCGCCCATATTCATATTGCTGTCCGATTGTCGACCGAAAAGCGATTGTCGAAGAAGTAGACGATAGAAAACGCCAGTTTTCAAGCCAGGGCCATGATCCCGGGGAATCTGAGGGAATAATTAAGGGTACAATAATCATTATATCAAGTACAATAGATGTTTAAAAGTTAAAGTTAAACTCACTTGTTGTTTGCATAGATATGGTGCAATCATTGCTGGATCTTGATGCGTCGGCCAATTCGTGTCAAGTGGACCCACGTTGATCACCGGACCTCAAATTTCGATGTCAGATTATCATGACTATTCTACATAAAGCTTAAAAGCTCAACAATTTATATTTACTCGGAAAATCACCGTTTTAGGTGTGTTTAAAAAGTGCAGGGTATTATAGTTGAGTGCCAAGTGCAAGTTTGGAACTTTTAAGCTTTCTTCATATAATAAATAATTATACTTCAAAATATCTCCATATTTATTGTATAATTTGTATTAACTATCAGATTACTGTAAATATTATCACGTTTAGATTTCTCAAATTTCATAGCAAAGAAGTACCTTGATCGAGAACTGTCGCAAAGCTGATGTAGCCATTGCCAGAAATCTGAAATTTCACAATATCCACAATTTCTTATAATAATCTTAATCAATTTTATAGCTCATTTCAGATCTAACACATTTCTCCCTAATTCTTTCAAAGAATGCTTTGAACATGGGGTTGTTGATCAATGTTTGTTGAAAATTGGGGAAAGGTTGAATGTCGCTTGACGCCTTATTTGTATGCAGATTACGGCCTTTTCCCCCCCTTTTTACCCCATCCAAAGGGAACGGCTTTCTTTTGCGAGATTCGGAACAAATGCACAAGTGATTGGTGGGAACTATTGGCAAACACGTGGCACGAGAATCAATCAAAGAAAGGATAAAAGACGAGTGGAAAGGTTTGGCTGGTTGAACTTGAGTTGGGTTTGGGAATATCGGTTAATCGAATTGAGTCTACCTAGAAAAGGCTTGTGTTATAACTGTTTTAATATAACCCAGTAAACAGCCGGCATCTGGTCAAGTAAATAAACCACTGCAAAAAAAGTGGATTCTTTGCAGCGTTGGGGAAAATTTACTACAGAATAAATGTAGATGATGATGTTAGTAGTTAGTTCATATTGTAAGTCGTTAAGGATGTTTGTTTACAGTTAGAACATAGCATAGCCAAGAAATTCAACGCACCAGGCATTGAACGTTTACACGAAGCCTGTTTAAAGTTTAGCCATGCCAACAACGTACATGCCAACATTAGCAGATTAAACAAAAAGCTTAAAAACTTAATAGATAAGCAACCCACATTTACTTCTGAAATCTCGAGAAAACTCACTGATGTGTAATTGTAAAGTCCACCGTAGAAAGGAAAGAATAAATGGAGATCAATAGTCTGTCCTCCTGTCAACATTTCGTCATTCACTCGCATATCCCCGGCATCGGGTCCAAATGGTACCAAGTTCACTAAGCAATAGCTCTTATCATGATCCCAATCATTTTTACTTACCTCCATAATATGGTGTGAGTCCTTGCCCAGTGATGAGATTCGTACCCAAGCCTTGATCGGGTTGAATGTTTTGCCCTTGTTGCGGCAGCGGTTGTTGTGCTTGGGCTATCCACACAACGAAGCCCAATAAGCACAAAATGTGCCAAGACATCGTTGGTTTATGTTTCTGAAGAAGGCTTACGCGGGGATCTCTTGGCTGTGCGAGTTTACTTTGATCCTAAATTGATTTACAAGTCATTGACATTGAAAAGCTTTGGTACAATCGATTGTATTCATCTTAAAGATGACATAAATACGCTAAAACTTGAGTTGTTCAACAGTATTCAGGTACTAGTTTTAGAATCAGAATAAACCAAAGCTTAGCTGATGATTCATAGTGTTAAGGGAGTGTTCAGCTTCAATTTCTTGTTGAGTTAAGTCGAATTTCTTGATATTTCGAATACAACCGAGTCATACCAAAAATGAAAACAAAAAAAAAAGATTTCTAGCATATTAAATTCGATTTTTTCGGAGTCATTTCTTCGGCAAGAGCACAAAAAATACAAAATGAATCATAGCCTTTTTGGGAAACGGCCGAATAACAACTCTTCGTATCATGGTAAAAGAGGCAAAAGCTTTAATGTTTTCCAGTTTTCTGTGTTTACGAAAACCTTCATGAAAAGAAAATAGATGATTATCAATTTTGAATATCAATCAATTTTAGTTTTCAGAAAGAACAAGAACTCAGCCAAGCAATGAAGAATCGATTATCTATGGTACTCGATCGGTAAAGCGGCTTAGCACTTTGTTGAGAAAGATATGGGAATCTTCTGGAGAAAAAATGAGTCAGAAATATTCGTGGGCATCGATGAGATGCAAATTGTGGCCATGTCGTTTCTCTCTTCCACTTGCAGGTGATCCGAGAGGGGAAAGAATGACTCATCCGGTAAACATCTCTCCACATATGAATCGGTCATTCCCCTTTTCTATTCTCCCAAAAAAAGACCCAATCGATGAGGCGAAAGCATCGAATTTCTGATACGAATGTTACTCTTTGATGGAGAAAAGTATTCGTTTACAAGAATTCTTGGATTTGAGGATATGTTTTTAAGCACAATGACATTGATCTTCAGATCAGAGATCTTCAGGTTTTCAAATCAGAGATAAAGGCGAAAACCCGAGTCTCCAGATCACCAAAAAATACAAGAATGGAGAATTTTCATTGATACACGTTTGCAAGCCTAATCTAAATGAAACACAGACAAAAAGTACTGTATGATCCTCTAGTTTGAGCACAACAAAGCCCGCAAAAAAGCCTTTTTGATTTGGAAAGAACTAGCGAAATTTGTGTATACAAGTATCGATGTCTTCCGAGGAAAGCCGACACGAGCAATTTTCGCCGAATGATTCACACGATCTCACACCGGCGTTGATCGAATATGGAGATTGCATTCGATGTGTTTCCCTTTCCCCACAAAACACTTTTGGCAAAGCTTAAGTCAAGAAGATACCTATTTTAGTCAAAGAATTGGTGTGCTGATTGAAGTGGTTGAGAAATTCAACTAAATAGTTATGACAGTAACAAATCGGGTAGTTAGGTAAGGCTTGTGCCAGACAGTTAGCCTTGTGCGACTTGAGATGACTTTGCTTGAGATCTTTTGAGCTCGAATTTCAAGTGCTTATACATTCTATTCAGCCCTAATTCGTATCGATAAAGAACTCTGGTATTACAAAATAGTATAAGGGAAGTACGATAGCACAAGGTTCCTGGAATTGGTTTCTGGAAACAGGGACTGAAATTACGGTAGAAGTACTTAAGCTCTATAAGGTACTATCATAGCTTTAGCCGTCTAAAATAAAATCGAAGAAAAAGTTGCGTAATAAGCTTTGTGCAATCGCGAGTAACCGTACAGCCTCGTCTCAATTTCAGAAGAAAGATTGTGTGGAAGAGAAATAGAAAGAGAGTGATGAATCAGCGTGTGGCAATGTGCCGAAGAAGAAGATGGGCAATATCGAAGGAGAATCTTTCCCCTCTGTTGTTCTCTTTCCTTTTCTCTTCCCCGTTATCTGTTCCTCTCTTTTCCCCTTTTCTATGCGATGTGCCGTATTCGGAATCGCTCTCCCGACGACTGATCAAGCTGTGTGAAATGGAGGGGAAAGAGAAAAGAGTCTCGCAATCTTCACAAACAAATTCCGATTCCATGCACACTAACAACAATCGATCACGATATAGTTGAACTAGTAAAGTAGCTCTAATTGGAGAAGATAGGGTTTTGAATCGAAAAGAGACTTGATCAAGGAAGTCATTGAAGATTGAAGTCGTTGAATTATTGAAGAACAAGGTTAGGTCATTGAAACAATCACTAATATCTTACTATTCGTGTCTATGACAATGACAATAAAGTGTTAACTTTGCAAAATCTTCAAATTCAAGCTTAAAAAAAAGCCCTTGGGACCATAAAGAGGATTGTTTTTCTTCAACGGTCCATCTTACTTATTCCCCATGTATGACCCATCAGTATGAGTCAGAAGTTATAAGTCGAAAGGCTCAAAATCTGAACGATCTCTTCTCCCTCTTCACCTTCTCCTTCCCCACTTCCCCTCCTCCAATAAATTAGCACTTTGGCTGGTTGAAAAGAAGAGAAAAGATTTGTTTATCAAGGTTTTGAACTTCAAGCGGCGCTTGGAAAGGCTCCTTTTCAAATAAAGAAAATAAAGATAACACAAACGGGGGTTGGGAACAAACCTGAAGTCTTTTTAAATATTGAGTGTAGGGGAAGGAGAACAGATTCAATTTTGAAGAGTTTTTTTATCACCCAAAAGGCTTTAAGGATTAAGTGATGGGGAAGAGGGCTGAACGGGTCTATCTCAAAAGGTTCTGCCAGCTAAACGCTTTCAAAAACAACTAGCAAATCTTGGATAACAAATATTTAGTAAAAAAGCTTATGGATTATCATCAAGACAATTCGAATCAAAAATGAATCAAATAATGTTTATTTTTATTTGAAAAGGAGGATGAAGCTTGTCAAAAGTGTAACAACAAATCAGCAAAATAAAACTGTTTATAAGCTTTAAAAAGCAATCGCAACTGTCATATCTTTGAAATCTTTGAAAGTTTTAAGATTATCGATGTAAAGAGTTCTTTTAAATCCTTCAAACAAAGCGAAAAGGTTGAGTTTAAGAACTGTGACATTCAAAAAGAGAAGAAAGTTTTCATTTCCAAAATCAAAGAATGTTTTTATTTCAAAATTCCGGGTAAGCTGAGCACTTCCTAGGCTGACTCAAAATGACAAAGGATGAGAAAAGAATCGACAAAGGAAAGGAAGACCCGTTAGACTTTTTCGACGTTCAAACATTCGCTGTCTCTCTTTTGAGAAAGAAAATCAAGAGAAGGTGCAATAAAAAAAATTCCTCTAGAAAAATCGATAATTTGTAGGGTGTTATTTTGGATGCTTTTGAAGAGAGAAAAAGCACAGCAGAAGAAAGGCCATACAAGAGTTATCAGTGAGGGGGGAGGGGAGGGGTGGAAAAGAAATCGAATTACAACCTTCCAACTTTCCATATGGGGAATCGAGGGTCTTCTTCTGAGGATCAACAAAATTTCGAGGAAATCTGAGAAAGTCGAGAGACAAAATGCTCAAGTCATACTCTTAAGTTTCAAAAGTGTGTCAAATTCAAAAAAAATTGTCGCCTGTTCTCTCAATTTCTGAAAAAAGTTTAATAAATTCTTTTGGGAAAGGGTTTGGTGTCTGTACAAGATACACAAAAGTGTCTGTACAAGATACACACAAATTCAAGAAAAAACAATTTATCCCGGAAATCTGGGCACGTTGACGCCCGGGAGGGGGAGGCTCAATCGTCCACGGCACCTTCCCGATAGACGAATTTAACGCGGAAATTTATCGTAGAGATCTGAGCATAATGACACCAAACAAAACGGGAGCCAGCTCAGTCGGTTTCGAAAAGGGAAGCACCTTATACCGAGCGGTCTTGTCAGTTGTGGGGCGATTGTGCTCGCACACAAAGAACACCTCGAGACCGCTTTAAAGCACCGTAACCGAGTCAGCATTCGAAAGGTTCGCAAGTAGATCTCCTCCCGTGATGCGCTGGGAATTCAAACCAAAACCCTCAACACACAAAATTGTTTGGGGAACAACGAGAAGAGAAAAAGAGAAAGACATTGTATACAAGCTTGTAAATGGTTGTAAAGTGAACAGGGCAAAGAGGAATATCACTAACAGAATTCTGAAGATTGAGAAGAAAAGGGCAATGCAGGCAATTCATCAAAACAGGCTTATTAGTCAGGTATTACTTTTTTTCGGCTACAAAATCTCAAAATGGTTTTAAAGTTATATTGACTTGATTCCAAGTTCGGTTAACAGCCTATACAATTGCAAAAAAGCCAGATCAAAAGTAATTTGTTCGTTTATTACTTGACAGGGTTAATTTAAAATTTTGAACAAGGATGATTTTGAAACAGCTGAGGTAGGGTGGGGTTTTTTTGTGTGAGTCAGGTGAGTAAAAGAGTTGGGAATTCTGGAAGAAGAAAAAAAGAAGAGGAAGGGAAATGAGAGAGGAATAGAAGAAAGAAAAAAAGAGAACAAATAAGAGATCCCATCCCTCCGCCAAACCCGATGAGGAGGTAGAAAGTTCTGCGCCATTGGGATTTGTAGATTCGGTTTACAAATTGATTACAAAGCCCATCAATGAGTTTTTTTGGATCGGTATCAAGAATCAATGAAGTTTCAGTATTTTGTCTTCACATCGAATAAAAAGTAGATTTAGGTACTCATTAATTCGATATAAATCTTTAAACGCCTTTATTTTACAAAATTGCTTTAGAAAAATTGTTTAAAAAGTGATTTCGATTCTGATTTCCGTTTGAGTTTACGAAAAAACTTTAGAAAAAACAAAACGGGGTTGCTGAAAGTAAAGGAACATGAGAATGTCAATATTGTGATGGAAAGGAAATCTTTTCTCTCTTTTTTTTTGCTTTTTGGAGTGGGGAACACTTTTGAAATAAATAAACTGATGATTGTTTTGTAAAATAAAGGCGTTTAAAGATTTATATCGAATTTTTTGTGGAAAGGTATGGAAGAAAAGAATGATCGATGCCAAAGAAATGATGAATGAATTGAAATTTCGTAACGAGGTACGATCGACTTGGCTTTTAACATCAGTTGGTGTATAACAGTGGTGTGTTCTTGTACAAGCTAAGCTAAAATTTACATTGGAATTACCAGTGATGTCTGTCGGTGTAAGCAAAGTTTTAAAGTTTTATGTTCTTGTACAAGTAGTTCCAGTTTATATTTATTTACAAAATAGTTCCCATTACACAGAGGGTGTTGCGCAAAAAGCCTGATGACTTTCTGAGCAATCGGCGGCACTCCATTGGCCCTCATACACATCAACCAGTAGACAGTTACCCGTTGCCGCCGGTTCATCTAGATAAATGAAATTATTCGATTTCTAGAAGTAAAACCTGTTCAAGTAACTGATTTTGGTTTATTAGAATTTCACTAGTTACTTTCACACGTTTTAGTCGGAACGTTGACGATTGAATAACTATTGGGTTGGGGAGAATGAGTCGGCGCCGAAATTTAAAAACTTTTTGCACCCATAAAACCTTCTTTAAATACACGTTTTGTTCTTCAAAATGGTCCACTATTTCTTTACAAAATGGCTTTTGAGAGATTCCACAAAGCTTTTCTTTTTTGGGATTTTATGGATTCCCAAACACAGCTAATCAAAATGACAAAAAGTCCGACTCATTGCTTGAACAGTTTCTTCCACATAAACCTCCTTTGATGTTTATATAAAAAAGATAGAGCACACTCAATTACATAAGTTACCAAATTTTCAGGAAGATCCCTCCAACCGTTTACTCTAGATGACAGTTTATCGATTTTGTGAAAAATGTTCTTTGTTGAGTTGGGCGCTGTTTGGTTCTCTTTCAAATATTATTTTGTGTTAGTTACCCTTCTCGGATATCAAACGATATCATTTGACAGTCTCTATAAGTTTTAGAAACTTCTTGGATTTTCGGCGCCGACTCATTCTCCCCAACCCAATAGTTTAACTAATGTATTCAACTAGTATATTCTTCTCAAATAACGCGTTCTATAAAGCGTACAACCTTTTGAAAACTACCGTAACCTCTTTCTTTTATCCAACCCATCTACGTTTGGTCAACTTCTGTGAGAATTCACAAATGAGAAATTAAGTACAAATGATAAATTTAGCGAGAAACGGTTTTGCTGTTGCTATATAGTTACTTAACAGGTTCAATCCTTCAATCCCGTGCTGCAAATTTCTTTTGTCTTTTGTTTTGATGTTTTTTATTAAGCAACTATTGCAACGCTCCTTAGGATTCGACAGTAGAAACAATTAAGCAAGTACAACACAATCTACAGGAACTCTAGTTCTGGGATTTACGCTGATCGTAGTTTTGGAAACCAGATTTTCCTTTTCTTGAATGGTTTTCGTTGTAGCTGTTCAATTCTTCAATAAGCACAATGTTGCTCAATAGCTGTCGTATCAGTAGCATCTATAATAGAACAGTCAAGTACATCAACTACTGAATGTACCGAGGATCAACTACAATGCCACTCTTTACAGTAAGACACAAACAGGCATCATTGTCAGTGCAACAGGTACTTGATGGGGATTGATCCTGATACAGTTGTACTCATTGACATCTTCGGTAATGAATGGACTGTTCCTGTATAAAAAATAACCGGGGAGCGAACCGGGTCTTAATATTTTTTGCAAAAATGGTTGGAAGTGAAAAAAAAAATCAAAACAAAAAAGACAAAAGAAATTTGCATCACCGGGGATCGAACTTGCTTACGATTATGACAGATTACGGTAATTTTTAGACAGGCTAGAGACAGATTACGGTAGTTTTCAAAAGTTATCATGATTTAAAAAAGATATTACTAGACAGTGAAACAGAGCCTATTTCGAAGAAAAATTTTTTCCCCTTCCCCTTTTTTCCCTACTTTGTGCCCAATTTTGATATGTGAACGGTGTGCCGTCAATCCACGTCCAAGTGTTGCCCCGTCGTTGAGCTCCCAAATAGTAGTAGTAGATGAAAACTGAAAAGTTATCATTGAGTTGATTGATTGAAAATTTGAAATAAACGCACACATATTTGCTTCTTGTTGGACGACTCCATTCTCGAATGCGTTGTGCACAGAAATGAGCATTCCCCGGTACGATTCGCATTCTCCCTCGGCCAATGTGTAGTTTTTGGCTGAATAGTTGACATTTATCAAAATTCATGGATTAATATCTAATTTAATTGCAATTACTTTTTAAATCTTTTACTCACTTCCTTGAATGGGCACTAGGCATGTTTTCAAGTCGGGATCCCAAATGGCTCTCGATTGACAATCACCTAATGAAGATCCAAAAAGAAAAGTCAAACAAATGAATAGATAAAAATATTCAGTCATTGTGATCAGGAATGAAATTTGTTTCCCTTACCTTCTTTATTTATTTGGGAAATCAAAGAATATTCTCTCTTTTTCTTATCTTTTCGAATCACAAACTTCAGAGATAATCATGTGACACGGAGATATTTGGAAGTCCTTTTTTGCAAAGCTTTTTATGAAATCAATGTAATCTTGTCGGATCAAGGTAGATGCAAATGGTTGATACACTAAAAGCCAACTGTTCTTTGTTCTTCTGTTCTACTCTAGCGTATTGATAAAAGTTCTAACTTCTAATACTCCAAACTAACAAATGACAGCTTCGGAGAGTAGATTTTGAAGCAAAAGTCAAATTTGACATTGTTTTGACACCTGGCACAAATTCACCATTCGATAATGAAGACCCAGGCAAAGTGCATCACAACTTGTGGGCTTAGCTTTGCAAGTTTTGCTGATCGAATTTTTGCATTGAACGTTGGTAATAGAGAGGTTAGAAAAAAGCTTTTATTTTCACAACTTTCACAAATTATTGGTGGGTTGTGACTGGCAGAGACCTTCCGATTTCGATTTGCAATCGACGGCATACCATTGAGACCACGAGACAACAACCGATATACAGTCGCCACTCTTTGATGGTTCATCTAAAGTTCTCTAAGCAATCATCTAAAAATCTTTTCTCAGGATTCGTTTATTCAATACGCTTCTAGTTTTTATCATTCAAAAGCTTGAAATGTCCTCTCTAAAACTATACAAAAAGTTAACAAAATAATAGTAAATAAAATTTAAAACGAAATCTATTTACAAAACATGCAAAAACGTTTTAAATCCTTCAAAAGTCCGGGAAAACGGACAAAAGCTCAAGTTTCGATGATTTCAAACTGAATTTGTTTTAATATTATAGTATTGTCACTAATCACGACATCAATAACATATCATCACTGACTTTGTGCCCATCGAGTGTAATTGAATGGCGTCCCATCTTCCCATTGCCACGTGCCATTCACCTTCTTTGCCCCAACGAAAAAATCCGTAAGGAAATCTAAAACCGCCCAAAGTTTTAATTCAAATAATTTTTGATTTAAGCCATATCAGAGTGAATAAATGAACAAGATCATTTTGTTTGACGAGTCTCTAAAATCTTTCTTTTTCAACTCACAGTATCGTGCTTGTTGAACGAGAAGATTGTGCATGAAAATGTCATGAATTGAGAAAAGCGTTCCATTATTGAACATCAAACATGTTGATTTCACTTCCGAATATGGATATCCTCAATCATTTAGCTTAAAATTATCTCTATTATCTATTAAAAACCTTTTTGAATGGGTTCAATGCAAATCTGAAGATCCGGATTCCAATCTCCCGCTTTACAAACTCCAGAAACAGATTGTAGCAAGAAACAAAGCAGAATAATCAAAAATTTGAAGAACATTTCTCTCGTCAAATGTTTTCGCTGCAGAAAAATCAAAGATTCGACTTTCTTATCATTCTTTGAACAATGAAAAAATCGTTTAAGAAGATTTAAGCGTTTAAGAAGCGTTTTCATTTCAAATTTCATCTATGAAAAATTGATCTGTAGTTTACTGCAATCATAGGCTTTCTAGGGCTTTTTTTAAGCACAATGCTATCACAACTTGATCACTTGAATCGTTCAGTTGAATTCAGATCCGTTTTGAGTCCAACTAACAACAAAAAAATTTCATATAGAGTACCATTGAGTTGCTCTTTGATATTAGCTAGTGCTAGCAAAGTTTTGTGTGATTTACAAGTGCAAGTTTTGAGCTCAAAACTCCCACAAGTTTTTTTTGTGATCTTTGAAAGATTGCTTGAAAGTGTTCGTTGGTATTTGATCAATCGAGAAAGAACAATGACGCTATTCAAAACCCTTTTCATTGTTTCATGGACCCGAATTTGGGGGTATCGAATCGAATGTGGTAGAATGGAAGGGAAAAGGGAGAGGGAAAGGGAGAGGGAAAGGAGAAGAGTCTGGAGGTTGGTGGGGTACAAAGGAAAAGAGAGCTTTCAATCCGTGAAATTGCTCCTATCGGGGTTGGGAGAGAAAGACCCATGGAGGGGAGGCCCTTGGTCGAGCTCCCTCGATTCTGAGCCCCCTCAAACAAAATCATCGCCAATTCATGGCATTTCTCAGTCAATCCCAACCTTTCGTCTTTCTACCTGATCCCAGATATTCACACAAATCTCCATCGAATTGCACATTCATCTTTTCCCGAGAGTGATCTCTTCCTGGTCCAAGTTTTCTGTTTTCTTTTAGCGTTGAGTGTTGCAAGAAATGCTTTTGTAGGCAATTTGAATCGTTAAACTTTAGCAAGCAAAACCAAAGCAAGCAAAGCAAAGCAAAACCAAACCGAACTTTGTTTCAAGTTTAATTTCATTTTAGCTTTCATAGTTCACGATATGTTAACCGTTTCTGAATACAGGGAAATCTTTGGTTCCACTCTAAACTTGCTGATCTTTAAACTCTGCGATTTCAAACTGAGGCTTGAGCTTAGATCAGAAAATCTCATCTAGATGAATAAGTCAGCTTCATTTTGTCTTTCCCCATCAATGCAATCTTTCTCCATCAATTCAATGGTAGCTATCCTTTTCTATGTATGTAAAGAGCCAACCCTTGTCATGTTTTCTTCAAGTTCAATTCTGAACAACGAAAAAAATACTTAGCGTTCAGCCGTCAAATAGTTGATTGAGTTGATACTACAAAAAGAGAATGAGAAAGAAGAAAAGAAGGGGTCGATATGATCCCTTGGGGATTCGCAGAATGTTTTTCTGTAACAAAGAGAAAAGCGAGAATGACAATGAGTCCTTTCCTTCTTTTATCTCTCGTCTTTTGTCTTCATCAACTCTTTACAAGTTCCTCCTCAATTTTTCATCTTCTTTCCAAAATTATTCCCTTTCCAGTCATGTCATTTAGGGGTAGATGGGTCTCTTTACCCATCCATCCACAACCACTCATCTCGTAGCTTTCACTTACAACTTTTCTGAAATTCGAATTTCAAAAGTCTACCTGTTTTGAAAATTTTCAACTTTATCCTACACTCTATTGCAAAAGTAGGTATTATTTTCACACAATGAACAGACTTATTCAACTAGATGAGATACACTACTGGACAATGAAATATCATATTTGAAAAACGATCGTCACTTTCGCGCGTCTGTAACTCTCTTGTCTTTATCGTATTTCTAAATATTAATATTACCATTGTGTAGCCCTTGAAAAGAGCTTTCAGAAAATGCATAACACTAATAGTTTAAACTCAAAGACAAGGGAGTTACAGACGCGCGAAAGTGACGATCGTTTTTCAAATATGATATTTCATTGTCCAGTAGTGTATCTATCCAAATTTGCATTTGAGTCAAGAATAAAGCTTATTGTTCTTTCATGCACAAATTTATATTTACATAGTTTTGAAATTTTCAAAATCTAACATTAAGAATACCCTGATATTTTCCTTTATCTTTTAAAAAGCCATAAGAAAAAAAAGCTTACCTGCACTTTTCTATGTTCAGCTACTGTAAACAAGTTTTAATCCTCTAACTCTGAACCCCGAAATATTAGGTTTAGGTATGACTTCGCATTTTTTAACAAAAACAAAGTTAACTTAAAAACTTGAACAAATAAATATTAAAAGCTATGTCCATCATTGTTGAGTATGATTTCCTTTCACTTTTGTCACGATTACCTCGATGACCATTTGAGAAAGCTTGTAGAAGCCATTCTCTGATCATCAAAAAAGTGCGGTTCACTGAAATTGTAGCCACGTCAAGATTGGAGAGCTATTGCTTACCTAAATAATGCCTAAACTAACTGAATAAATGATAATTAGATAGCCGAATATCTTGCTCATACAGCGGACATTGAATTAGTTTTCACAGAGGTTTCATAAAGCTTTTTGTAATGCGAAGATAAACACTAAAATGTTAGTAGTAGTAGTTGGTTATGTTAGTAGTTGTTACATGTTAGTAATGTTAGTAGTTATGTCCACTACTAACACTAAGATGTTAGTAGTTGATTATAGTTGGATTTCGTCCTTCATTTGTTACATTACAATTTATTTTAAAGTGACAGCTTAAGAATACTGCTAAATATTGAACAGTTGGGCCTACTTTTAAGTATTAAATATATTAAATAATTTGTCTTTTTAAATAACTCATCAACAATACCCAAAGTGGGTTTCTGGGGTCGCCGTCTTTGAGACTTTCTTTTGCAGCCTGGTAGCGGCAAAACAACTTCTAAACAGTATGAATCATAAGGTAATTCTTTCAAAAGTTTTTACATAAATATTTTTAGAATTAAATCATCGTTTTAACTGCTTAAAATCGTAAAGAAACTAGACCTCCGTTCGAGATTTTTAATCTTTCAGCTTTCGAGCTGTGTGTGAAAAAATTTTTAGTTTTTGATCAGACTTTTAAAGTGTTATCCTCTCAGCAAGCATTTAAATAAAGTTATTGGTAGAAACCAAAATGGAACCAGAGACATAGTTTTTGAACTTGAGAAAAATGAGCTTAAGAATCTGACTGAAAAGACATACCCGCCAATCTAATATATTTATCAGTGTTGGAGTAAACTATCGCTAATTTCCAATTATTTTATTTCTCTTTATCATTTTTTTGGTTTATCATTTTACAGAGGATATCTTTCATGTTTTCACCTTGAAGACTTGTCACTTGGCGCTTTTGCCCGAAATTCGATCTCCTGTTCTTTAGCATCGATTCACAAACAACTAACATATAACAGATTTCAGTTTCAAGTTTACAAAATCTAACTATAAGTTTGTTGTTTTGTTCTTTCGCCCAAGAAGTGGTACTTATGTATGTTGAGATTTAAAATTGACTAAGCTTTAGGTTTATTGATCCAATCCACTTTTTTTGCATTTAAAACTTAAACTTTTAGTTTCAGCTATGTTTTTCTTTGTTTAGCGGACATATAGTACTATTCGCAACTTCTTTTGATCTCTATATTTAGCTCTTTCATAAGAACAACAAAAAGGCTAACGTTTCGTCAAAGAGATCCGAAAAAAAAACAAAAATTACTTCCCGAGAGCGGAAATGGAAAAAGAATGGAGTGCGAGAAAAGGAGAAAAGAAATGGAAAAGGAAACGACTGGGCAGGCTGCTCACGCAAAAAAAAATTAGGTTCGAAACTGACCCCGTGTGGGCACAATTTTGGTCATTCACTTGATTGGTCTTGTTTTGCTCTTTTGCTTGCTTTCCATTTATTTTCCTTTTTCCCATTCAGCCTTTGTGTAAACGATTTGCAGTTGAGGCTGAAAGGTTGAAATCCATTTCGAAAATTCTAGAACTAAAATTTTTAATTTCAAACATTCAAAACAAAAAGAAATCGGCTCACTATCAGTTCAGCTTTCAGTCAACGCTGAGAAATTGTAAGAATTTTAGAATGTGAATTCTGTCAGAAGTTCAGTTGCAGGTGATTAAGTTTACAAGGTTATTTTTCTTCTTTAACAGACTTGACTTCAAGTGTACAGCTCCTATAGTACGTTGTCTAACTCTAAACTCAATTCTTCGAGGTCTTAGGATTACGGGTTAAATGTTTTCTGTGTTTCCTTCTCTTTCTTTCTCTTCCCCCTTGCATTTCCTCTTTCTTCTCTGGTAAAAAAGCTATCAGATAGCTCAGTGGTTAGAGCACCTGCTCGGCAAGCAAAAAGATCGAGAGAGGGTTCAATTCTTTCTCCGAAAATCTTTCTTTGCCATACTTTACTTTCCTTTGATCCTTTGACCAGCCTCAGATTTAGAGCCGAATCGAATCCGAATCAAACAGAAAATTCCGAATCTCCTGTTAAAACTATTCGTTTTTAAAGTGCCATTTCTAGACTCTTATATGGATTGACCATGACCATGATTCCGTCAATGGACAATTGACGGAATCATGGCCCTTTTGGGGTGTCCATCGACCTTCACCCCCCTTCTGAAGTGCGAAACCGGAAATTTGGTTGTCCAGCTGTTTGGACGGGTTTCGAGCATTGGTCTTGGAGCAGAAATCCCCACAGAGGGGAATGTCTGAGAATGAGAAATCAAAGAAAGAAATAGAGTGGGCTCCTTCAATAACCCCCTTTTCTCCCAAAGACAACCCACTCAAAGCTACTCTTTATCCTTTATTCCCCAAAAATGGAACACTTTCAGATCATTGCCTCCACAATGCAAACAACTTCCCCTTTGTTTTTCTCCATTAGCTCTTCCAAAAATTCCAAGTGATCAAGATTTTCATATGAAACTTGATAGATTTTTGACGCGTTTTTTCGCGGGGCATTTTGTGGGCAATTATCCTTGAGGGAAATATGGACGGCTGGCAATTTTGAGTGTCTCTTTTCCCCATTCTTTTTTCTTTCTTTTTTGGTCTTTTATAGATAAAAGAGAGGAGTTCGCACCCCTCTTCTTTCCCTTCAAGAAATCGAGCACTCCTGAAGAATTGGGATGTTGATTTGAAAAAGATCACAACAACTAGATTCTTTGGAGAAAAGTGTTTACCTTTTTTCTGACCATGTCATTCTTTGGTACTTTTGATGTTCGTGCAAGCTTTCTAGGGTTTTGGGTCTTGAGCTGAAAACCAGAATCTAGGTCTAGACTTGACTTCTGACCTGTCAAGGTAGGTGGGTCAGGTTAAGTGGTTCAGACCTGAACCAAGTTATGCAGTTAGTTATGCAAGTTGACACTGCAATTTCTCTGACACTGCAACTTACTTTTCTCTCTCTGTTTTCACAACCGACTTCTTAGTAACACAGCATTCTGTTTTCATGCTATATTTTGTTTCAAACGTTCAACTAACGAAATTTTCCTTTCCTGGACTTTCGAATATTTCGTTCTTTCAGGAGAATGTCTTCGATTAAAAAGAGCCGAAGACCGGGGATTTTGGAAGTTCTCCGAATGTTTTTCTCGTTGATCTCCCGTCTCTCAACAACTCTAACTATCATTTCATTACTTCAATCGTCACAAGCAAACAGTAAAAATTACCCTTTGAATACTTTTAAAATATTTACCCTTGTTTACATTAGAAAGAGTTTTAGCTTTAGATAAAGTGATAGGTTCGAGGATAATGGCAGATAAGCAGGGTTGGGTAAGTACGTTCTTTTACTGGACTAGTCGAAATCCAGTCTCTTCTGATCCGCTTGACCTAGGGAAAAACCAGGGTTATTTTGCAAAAACATTAGAATATATCTACCATTTGTGTATTTGTCTCAATACAACGTTTTGTGGATCATAAATATTGAATTCAGTTTATTGATGAATCAACAACCAAACCCTCTCCCTCAATTTTTTTTTTGTCTTTGTCCATAGAATCAAAATGGGTGACTCTTTCATCTATCGGGGGAATAAGCGGAGATTTTCCTATGAAAAATTCAACTCCTCCACATCGCGGACCCCAACCACAAAAAAAGAGAATTTGGATTTTGAAATGGAAATTGTAGAAAAATAAATATACATTGAAAGGAAAAAGAATAGAAGATTTGCAAAAGTATACAATAAAAACTTCAGGAGAAGCTCTAATGGACGACAATGGGGATTTTCTGCCACATATCAGATTGGCGAAAGATTTGATGGATCCCAGAAGGTTTTTTTAAAAAAATAGCTAAAGATTCATTATCTAATGTTTATTTCTTCAAGTTTTATCCAAATTTTTTCAGATACGATAGCCGAGTTCGTCCAGTGATCGATCACGCCAATCCGACGTCGGTTCTCTTCTCGATGACTCTCTATCAAATTCTCGCGGTGGTGAGTATCAAATTGGATTTACAAAGATTCTCAAGGATAAAAAAGATTCTAAAATTTAATTCATAAACATTTACAATAGAAACTCAATGTTTAGCGATAATTTAGCAAAGAAAATTGATTGTAGTAGATTTTTCGACAATTCCACATCGTTTTACAACATTTCTGAGGTCATTCTTTGCAAAATGATCAAACGAATATATTTTCGAAGTTCCACAGTAAAGAAGTGTATTTTATTTTCAGAATGAGAAACAACAGAGCATCGATTTGAACGTTTGGGTGATCCAGAAATGGAATGACGATTTTCTCGGGTAAATACTCGTCTGGATATTTTTGTTTCTTTGATTTTAAGTGCCCAATTAATTTGTACAGATTTTTGGAAGTTCGTTTAAGTATAAGTTTCCACGTGTGTAGGATAAATTTGTGTGTGATTTCCGAAATGATATGTTTGTTTACGTGCAATTGAAAGATGTAAGTGGACTTTCCCTGTCACTCCCAACAAAACCGACAAGTCAGAGGGAAGCCTCAGGAATAAACGACAGACCTTTCTTGCATTCCGGAAGATTATGTTACTTGTTTATCTACATGAGTAATGACAATCTTTAGTGAGTCCAATAAAATGAAAGGGTTCGGGGGGACATGCTAGTGGAAGGGGTAGGACTCCGAATGAAAGGAGTTTCAAGTTGAGTAATGACAATAGAGCGAAGGACCGCCTCCCTTGGTCTAGGTCCAAAATATTGAGAAAGTGTCTGTATTAGAGAAATATAGAGTTTAGTGTGTGCTTTCGATTGGTGAGCATAAAGAGAGACAATGGATAAAGTAGTTTCAATTAAAGTTACACAGCGAAGAGAAACATTAAAAGGGGAACTCTGAATATTGTGTGTTTTTGTAGAGACGGATTTTTGATATAAGCAAAACCAATTTGCATAAATTTGCATATCTTAACGGGACATTACATCACAAACATTTCCAGTTGGAACCCGAGTCTTTATGGTGGAATCAATGTCACCATTTTGCCCTATCACGCCGTTTGGCTGCCCGATACTTATATTTATAACAGGTAATAAGACTTAAACTCTTTCAGAAGCTGTTCAATTTTAGTGTTGTGATGAATCGCGAAGAAACGGAGAGATATATCAATGTGGTGGTGACCACGAATTACTACAAAGGACAGCGAGGAGCTGAAGTGAAATTCATGTATCCAGCGTTGTATCGAACGAGTTGTCAACTGGATATCAGGTAAATCATAAATTCAAGTTAAGTGTTCAACAAAGTTATAGATTTTTCCCGTATGACCAACAGAATTGCACCTTGGTGATCTCCTCGTGGACCTCGTCTAGATCCAGTATTGATTATTTTGCTGAAGAATCGGTTAGTGGCATATTTTTTTTGCAGAATATTTCTTGAAAAATCTGAACTACTTGTGCACTTTCTATTATGAAAAAACTCTATTTAAAACTTACCCAATGACGTGTAACTTTGAGCGTTAAAAAGATGAGAGTCCGCCCCCTCCCGGGCTGCCCTAAATTCTTTAGTTTTACTGAAACTATTTGGTGTTTTGAACTTTGAATTGATCAGAAAATATGCGTTTTTTTCATTTTGAGCATAAAGTACACTTTTGGTGTAACTGTAGCATAAAAAAAACTATAAAAACTGATTTTCAGTTGGTTCGTCTTGATCAATTCATCCAAAACGAGGAATGGGTGGTGGTTTCATTCAAAATCGATCGAATCGAAGAGAAATTCCCATGTTGTCCCGAGCCTTGGGTATTGCTTCATGCGCATCTTGTCATCCGAAGAAAACCCCTCTATTACATTGTGAATCTCGTCATTCCCACATCCGTTATAACAATGGTCGCTGTCACCGGTAAGAGATTAAAGGATTCAATTCTAATTAGAAGACTTTTCAAGCAAAATTTAAGATTAAGTTAAGAAACAGAAATGTAATCATAATTCCATTAGAAGAGCCCTAGCAAAGTGTTTACTTTGTTGAAATCAACTCTGATAAATTCTAAACCTAAGCTCGATGTTTCTCTAAAGTAAATTTAATATCTAAAGTTTCTCTGTGTTTTCAAAAATATAGCAACTTCTTAAAAATATCGTAATCTACGGTAACCTAGCATAGCCAAAACTCTGGTTGGGAAATTGTGTTAAAACCGAAAGAAAATTCTTAAACACCATTCGTAGGATCTAGAAATCTCATAGACCACACAAATGAATGTTAATGCGATCGTAAAAGTTAAAGATAAATCTTTTACTGGAATAAGTATTAAAAAGGAATCTTGAAGGCTTTTTCACGGCCGCTTCCACCTCATCAGAGCGTCGCGAGAAATTGTCATTGGGTATCGATTCCCTTCTCGCCATGTCCATCTTAATGATGATGGTCTCTGAGCAAATGCCAACCACTTCCGATTATGTTCCCTTATTTGGTAAGTTGAAAACAAAATAAGCTTGACAGCTTGACAATATTTTTCTATAGGTTTGTTCTATTTGACGATCATCTTTGTGATCTTTCTCGGCACACTCTTCACCGCTTTCATTCTCAATATTCATCTACAGGTAACTTTAAAGCAAAGATAGTTAAAATCTAGTTTTGTATTGTAAAGCATATCTCAGCCTTATCATTTTTACTGATAACTTTTCAGAAAATGTACTCCCGTCCGATTTCTCCGATTATCACCTTCATTTTCTTCCACAAAATTGCCAAATGGCTCAGCATTCGGTAAGTAGAAAATAAAATAGGAAATTTCATATCTATAATTCATTTTAATCACAAACACTATTATTTTAATGATTCCAGAGCTCCAACAACATTGGTGGAACTATGGGCAGAGACAGGTGTTCGGATACAAGAGGTACAAAAGGGGAAACCATCTTTGAAACGGCCAATGGTTTGTTTAAGTCATTTTTGTCTTTTTTCCCATTCTTTGATCAAATTTAGACATTTAATAAGGATAAAATCAATCTAGAACAACAACACGATACCGAGCTCGGATCGATTAATCCGAAAGACGGCTTCACCAACGACACCCGTCAAACAACCGCCAGTTACGGCTAGGTGAATTACGACTCTAATCTTCAAGTGTACGGCGGGATTTCAGTACATCGCAGTACTTCTAATAGTAAGTAAAAATTCGATTTTCAGATCAGCCGACGAGTCGACATATCGAAGCGCGCTCGCTCGATCGAACTGGCAACGACTAGCCAGACAGGCTAGCTCGAAAAGTAAGGATTTCTGGAAAATAGACCTGTCACTAACATAGACTTGTTTCTGAACTTATTAGAATATCTTCTTAAAATGAAAATAATCTCAAACGTTTCCTTCTACAAACAGCTTTCCGTCCTCGTCTTACAAGTCTTCCCTATCTTTCCCCGAATGTTCACGGGTTAAATCTCGGCAGAAGATCGCTGACCCCAACTGGGGGCTTTCGTCGATCCGTGTCATCGACTCTTCCAGAAGATCAACCACTTCTCACATATGATGATGATTATGGTCTTGCTCTTGGATTACTGCTTTTTACGAGTGCCATTGAAATTGAGTATTCATACTTTATGCTTTCGTAAACGCTCACTATCTGCCACATTTTCCAGCTAATGAGTGAGAGCATAAAGCCCAAATTTTCTCATGTTTGACTGAAAATTTTGCAGTTTTTTTTTTGCAAAATTTCACAATGTCAGTTATCAATTTTCTTTCCAGGGCACTTCCCAGCATCGGCGATGCCCTCAAATGCTTCGGAGATCTCTCGGAATGACGATCATCGAACATCAATGGCCATTGTTGCTGTACAACAAATGAATGACTCTCTTGTCATCGAGAGTAAACTGAAAAGAAGGTTTGTTGGGTGGAAACTAGAGAACAACTATAGCTAAATAGTAAACAAACCCCAATAAGCGAATCGGAAAGACTCTAGGAGAATCTATAGCTATAGTACGAACTATAATAAGATCTATAGCACGCCTGGCTACAGTAAGAACATTTCCCAATTTCGATCTTTTTCCAGATACGCTCTCGAATGGGAATATCTTGCCTCCGTGCTCGATCGTGTCCTCCTCCTCGTTTTCTCAATGGTCGTTTTCATTGTGACATTCTTGATGATTCTCGTGGGTGAGGCCATGCATCTCAGCTATGAGCTCAATAATGAATAGAGTTTTGAACAAACCAATGATTTAAGATTAAAAACAATTCTCTTTTTATTTCTCACCTGTGATTTTATCCGTTGAATATCTAAGAAATTTTCATTCATTTTCGCATTCCGCTTCTTTTTTTTCATTTAGGATATGAATATTGCCAGTTTTTCTTTTCTTTTGTGTGATTTGTGCCTTTGTCTCTTTTGATCTTCTTTTTCTTTTTCTTTTCATCGACAAAATCTTTTTTTTTCTTTGTTATTCGGCTTGCACAAGAAAATTTCATTTATTGTGGATCCTTTTTGCAAACGAAACGAGCGTATTTGAAATTGTCATGGCTGTCCCAAATATTCTGAAGACTTCCCCGACAGTGCTCGTCGTTCACGATCTGAAACATTGATACTGAAATGCTAGAAGGCCATGGAAGCCAGGGTTGGACCAGAAGCCAGTTTCTTGTTGCACACCTGGATCTGACTTCTGGCTTTGTCTGATCTGATCTGATTTGACTTAAAAACCCATTCAATTGAAACCTTAGTGCTTTTCAACGTACCGTGTAACTCTCAGCACACTCCCCATCGGTGAGATCGTAGTTGAATGGCGATCCATCGGTCCAAGTTTTCCCTTCCGTCTCACTACACGTCGCCCCAATGACGACACCCCAATCCACACACATTTCATCTTTTCGACTTGTTGCAGCAAGATCTGAAATTGGAGTATTTCTCTCTTTCACCATAAAGTGTTACTTCTTATAAAAATATCCTCAGCATCCGAGTGAATCGATGCCAAATGAGCGCCCATTGATTGGCACATAGTCTCGGCTGTTGATCGAGTATACATTGGGATTGAATCGTTTTGCAAAACGTTCTGAAAAGTGTCAATCATTGAATTTGATAGAATCTCAATTACCTGCAAGTAGTAACATTTCCCGGTTAGTTCGTTGAAAGTCCAACCCGATGAGCATTCTGAAAAAGTTTAACACATAGTTATGAGAAAAGTTTGGCTTCTTGCTCTTTCACATATGTCCGAAATACACAGCGAAGTCTGAGGTAAAGATTTTCCCGAAAAAAGTTAGCCTCGTGATGCCCAAGTGGGCAAAGCCAGCTTAGTCGCTCACCGCTCCTTCCTCTTTCCGGATTCCAAAAGGAAAGCACTCTATACCAGATGAGTTTGAAAGATGGCGAGCGATTACGCGCGCACGTAAAGAACACCATGACTCCCCTTTAACATAGGAAATCTTATTTTTCCCTGAACTTGACTCCCGAAGTAGCTATTGAGCCGAAAACTTGAACCCGAGGTTTGCGTGATCGGGGAATCGAATCGATTGGAAATGTCCATTTTATTGGATCATAACAATCAATTTAAAAGTTTGCTGACAAAAACTCACGTGCTCCTCCTTGATCAGAGAATGCACAGATGAATGGATTCGATGTGGCACAACTAGCCGAATACCAATTGAAATCGGTGAAGTTGAGAACGGTGCACCCATCGGGCTTCGAGTATTCATCCGCTGAAAGAAAGTTCCCAATCGAGATTCTGAGTTAATTTTCCAATCAAAACAAATTTTAAAGATGTCTTATTTTTGTTACAATTGCCGTTTAGCTTACCAGAAGCAAAACGCCAATAGTTCAGCACAGTTCCATCAGCATTGATTCGCGATTGATTATTTTTGTTCACCACTCCAATCAAAGCTGTCGTTTGAGTACCAGAAAGAGCTGGAAAAAGATTTTCCTAAAGAATTACTTAAATTATATTTTACTTTTCACTGCCGCAACCACAGCCATAAAATTTTCCGTCTCCGAGTTAATCTGAATTAGCTGTCCACCAAGGGCCTTACATGTTGCTTGAGCCATGTCAAATGATGTAGCTAAATTTTGAAAGTACGGTTTTGGGTTTTTGTAATCTATAATTTAAATTGCCGTAAGCATACTGAGTCTCCTAACACATAGACGACCGCGTGACTCGATGCCGAGTCACGGCTGTTTCTTTGGACCAACTGAGCTGAAAATCTGCCAGAACATGTAATTCTGGGTCCTCTTTTCCAATCCGGCACTAGTTTTATTAGGAAGTTGTGTGTTTTTTTCGTAAAAGGCGGAAAAACTGGGTGTTACCTCGGATTCCATGGCCGAGTGATCTAAGGCGCGGGAGGCCAATCTGGGGCTCCAATAGGGGGTTGTTGGTTCGACTCCCCCCCACCCCCGAGCAAGAACGCTTTGCAAATAATATTTTCTAATAGTTTCGGATAATTTAATGGAGTAGCTACAAATATCAAGCGTTAGAACTCAAAAAAAAAAATTTTGAAAAATTAGTGTTTTTGAATTTTCTAAAAAAAGCGTTTTGCAAAGGAAATTTTGTGTGCGTTCTTTCCGTGTCGCTCGTAGGAAAAAACGGCGTCTGGCACACTGCCCCGGATATGAGGTCAAAACTTGGGTAATTAAACCGGCTTCAAAAAAATGGTGTTTTCGTAAGGTAAGCAATAATTTTTGAAGGCTCAAAACAATTCTGACTCGGAAACATCGATCGATCTAGAAATTCGAGCATACATCGAGCTAGAAATTAGCAAAACTAGAGTAGTAACTACTAGAAATTAGCGTAAAAAATAAAATAGTTAAAGCTGTGAAAATAAACTATGTAGAGTTTGTTGGCCTAAAGTTGGCCTAAATCTAAGGCCGGATTCGGATTCTAGAGCCTTTTAAGGCCTCATTTGCAAATTTCTGGGATTTGCTTATTCATTTTAATCCCTGGTCCAAATCGGCCGTTTCGCAAAAGATGCGCCGTCGTCAATGCGTTAAAGATTGTGTTGCTTTTAAAATATTCAGCTATGATCCACTTGGTCTGCTTCAGTTCACCGGCTAAACACCGCGAATCTTATCCCAGATATTAAAGTAGCTTTGCAATTCGAGTTTTAAGTGAATAGCTAAAGACTTTGACTCATATTTCATTACTTTAAATATTTTTGACGATTTGCTAACTGCTAATTTTAAATATTTTGGATTAACTCACGAGCATCGACAGCGAGAACACACTCCCCTAATCCTCCATAATCGAATGCCCCATTCGGGCAATAATTAGCGAATGTTGTTGTAAAAATTGCACTCCATAAAACAAAAATTATTCTCGGCAACGCGTTGCTCATTTTCAAGGCACAAAACGAGCCCCAGAAAAAGATTCCTTTTCTAAATCAACGGCTTAACTCCTATCAAAGAATTGCGTGAGAATTGAAAGCGATTGATTTTCGAGATGCGATTAGATCTGAGCTGACACCAAAGTTGAAACATTTATTGAAGAATTGAAGAATTAAAAATCTAGATATTTTGAAAAGTTTTCACAAGGTTCATCGCAACATCGGCTAGGTGAAGAGCCGCTTTTTGACAGATGAAACGAGAGAATTGATTCTGGGCATACCAACTGGGCCAAATTTCTCGAATAGCTAGGCCACAATTGTAATCGTTGATCATCTGAACTTGGACATGGGTTCTTGAATTATTTAAGTTTATATAGATATAGAAATTTAAGGTAAAAGTTAGGTCGATAGAGTCCCAAAAACATCAGTAACCCTGGCTAGTAGTATATTCTAGGGAGTAATGCGATTGCGAAAACGTGGACACTTTGGAAAGCTACAGTGATCCATGAATCTGTTAAGCCTTTAAACCTTGAGTTATTAGAATCATTGGAACTTTAGAAGTTTCAAGGATCCCATTCCTACCGTATACGCATCAGTGCAATCTCCATTTGTGAGATCGTAGTCGAAAGTTGTCCCATCGCTCCACGTCTTTTTCCCGTCTTTACACGATGCACCAATGAGTGCTTGTCCACCCTGTCCACAGTCCACTCCACCATATGTTGCGATGAAATCTTAATAGTTTTTGCTAAGCATTTTATAGCTTTATACTTCTAATCCAGATATTTTCTCGTTGTGTGTGAATCGATGCAAGATGAGCACCCATTTGGGCGCAGATTGCCTCCGCATCACTCTGATTCACGTAGAGAGCATGATTTGAGGCGACAATGTTCTGAATTTGATTCATTTAACTCGATAAAGATCTATAAAACTCTTTTCTCTCTAACTTCAGACGAGAAACACCAAATTTACATTTAAAACTGTAGACATGCAGTCAACATGGCAATTCAGCCAACCTTTGCCAGTTGCACCAACCTGCACATAGTAGCAATTTTGTGTGAAATCATTCCAGCTCCATCCGGTCGGACACACTAAATATTTGAATAATAAGAAGAGAAATCCTATTCTATCACTTACGCATAGTGGAGAGATCCGAGAATTGGCAAACAAATGGATGAGTGTCATTGCATGGAGTGGAATACCATTGAAGATTGGTTGGATTGAGCACGGTGCACGGTGAGGCTGAGTACTCGCTTTCTAGAAATTGGATTGGAAACAATGAAATTGATCTATTTGTCTAAACCTGAAAAGAAATTGAGGTACTGTAGCGGAGTGCCATCAGCGTAAATTCGGTCGACCCCGCGATCCCTCTGAATCACTCCAATCGTCACCGGGACTTTTGTGGGCAATGCTGCAATGGTCTTGAGTGTAATTCCTACTATTTGTTTGTAAATATAAATCTAATACTGATATCTTAACAACAAAATCGTTTTCCGATTTTGAAAAGCTCCATTGGCACTTCAGTTAATCGCTATTGTTTCAACACTTGTGTAAACTGGTTTGATATGGTTAATGATTCCAATTTTTGAAGTCTAACTCGCCAAATTCTATCTTTTTATGAACCTTTTATTGCCGAAACTGCAGCCAACACATTTTCCTGTTGTGTTTGTGGTTGAATGAGTCGCCCGCTCAACGCAGCACATGTTCGACTGGCCGTTGATAAAGGCGCCGCTGGAAACGTCTCGATAAGTAAGGTTTAATCGGTTAAGCTTTTTATCATATACCTTAACCCTTTAAAATAACGATTTTCTTAACGCAGAATTTAAATTTTCAAGTTCAAAATGCAAAACCCAACGAGCTGGAATGGTGACGATACACTCGCCAGCCTCAACATAATTCACAGAGCCAGCAGGACATGAGCCACCAAATATAAGCCCAAAATATCCAACGAATAAAATGATCTGACTTAACATTGTCTAATTGTAAGAAATAAACTCTTTTCCGCTCTTTGAACGTTCTCGACAAAAAGCGGCATTTTTCTTTATCTCTTTCGAGCAGAAAGGATTAGCGCTTGGTGTGCTTAATTCGAAGAGAAGCGCTTTTCAAGAGAATCAATTTCTAGAGTTAAAAGACAGAAAAATATTTTGCTTATGGGTAAAAAATTGCTGAAATATGTGAATTTTAGAATGATTGAGTGAAATATATTTAGATATACTTGGGGGTTTTTTTTGTACTGGAAAATTACTGTCTTCGAAAACTACTGCAACTACCGTACTCTAAGTTCTACCTTATCCAAAACTTACGTAGATTTTTCTGTCTTTGTGATTTATTTAATATACCAATTTCCACCTAAATTTGTGTTTCTGAATTCGCATTAGAACAGAATTGTGCAATGCAAAAGTACCCAAAAGTGAATGGAAATTAAAACTTGCTTTGAAAAACGAATTTTCTGATTTACCCACACCGATCATCATTAATTTGCACTTCTCACTGTTCATCTTGTGTGTGAAATCCCCGTTTTCCCCTTAAAAGGGCAAGTAGAGCTTTTTTTTTCTATTGTGTTGAGCGATTTTTGAGAAAAAAAAGAGAAGTGAAATGACCCAAATAGACGATTGAGATCATCCCCTTGCTCCCCTTTTCTTTACCAGAAATGTTCACTTTTCTTTTGTCTTTTCCCCTGTCTCATCCACTTGTCCCATTAAACGCCCCTCTTTTTTTCGTCTTCGTTTTTCCTTTTTTCAAAACCGAACACAATTGGCTTTAACAATTGATCAAATCAAATCACTTTTTAATATTTAACGACAAAATGCTATTTTTATTGTTATTCGGTGGATTCACAGCGGCATTGGCATATTGTAAGTCAATCTTTTGTTTGAGTTTTTATATATGGCTTTGCTATTTTTGAGTTTTTGCCCAAACCCTGTAAAATAAACACATTTCTAGCAAACTCGATGAGCGATGGGTACTCGAATGATGGACAAAAGAAAACAATTGTGATGTCAGAACCGGCTCGAGACAATCTTATATTAAGATCAATTCGAAAAAACGCAATACAATCGTGAGTCAGAAAAGAATTTCTGAAGAAAATGCAACTTAAGACTTCCCAATCTTCAGCACACTTTTAATGTGCATAAAATGAGAGACTCTTCGCTGCAAAGTGGTAAACTTTGAAACTTTGTAAAGTTACAAATCTGATAGCTTCAGATAGCTTTGATTTTTTGGGTGAACGAGAATTGAGGAGAAGTCCCGTTGTTAAAAAGAAAGAAAAAGCTGAAGAAGTCAATTTGAAAGATCCGGTAAGGCTTGATGGGGGTTTTTAGAAATTTTGGTTACTGTACTTATATCCAAGCGTTTACGGGTCTTCCAAAAGAATACATTGACGTACAGCTTTGTCTAATCGTAAAGCTTTGATTCTACTGTGAAGATGGGATATTTTGAACTTCTGAAGACCCTCCCTTTCGTCTTTTCTTTTTTCTTTATTGTCTTTCCTATCCTTCTTCTTGTTCTTCTTGGGCAAACGAGGCGCTGACAGCTCAGTGGTAGAGCATCTGCCCGTTAAGCGGTCGAGGGTTCAATTTCCCCTCGGTTCCAAATTCTTTGTCATTCATTTCTTTAATAAGAAGTAAGCACAATAATGCAAGTCATGGTTGGGAATAATTGAAGTGAAACGAAAAGCTACCGTACTAAAGCTAATGGTTCCAAATAAACAACGAGATTACTGTAACATTTTTTTTAGAAGATCATCTTTTAGAAAGCAAAAGAAGCACAAATAACTTCAATCATAATTTTTTAGGAGATCATGAAAATCATGGATGAAATGAACGGGGCGAAAGTTAATTCAGCAGAGGTTGGTTTTGGACGAAAAAAGCTTTATAATATGCTCTAAAGGTGCTACAAAAAGAAGTAACAACTGTTCCAAGTATTGTACCGCATTTCAAAAAGAGCATGTACGATGTGGAGGTGCTTCCTCGCGAATATACGGTTGATTTTAAGATTTAAACATTTCTATTCAGTTTTTAAACAAATTTAGACCGCATTGCCGCTAACGTTAATACCTTTCATTTCTCCGCAAGGCGAACCCCCGAAATTCTCGATTTCACTTGATCCATTCGAGCTTATACAAATTGGAAAAGTTCGCTCAAAACAAGTAAGTTTTAAGCAAAGCAAAGCAAAGCAAATTTTCCTAATCTCTTCGATTATCTTTAGTTTTTAGCAATTCTCTAAATTTTTTAAAAACTTTAGAAAGGTGATCGTCTCATCTCTTCAGTGACCGTTGAACTGAAACCCAATGTGGAGGAGAGAATTCAAAAGATTACTGTAATCATTTTACAATTTAAATTTCGAAAATGAAAAATAGAATGGATCCTATGCATTCGCTGTGAAGGGAGAACAGGGTGATAGAGAAGATGTGACGATGATTCGAGTAAAATTTCATCCGGTAAAGGTTTTTGATGAATAAGGATTGTAGCCAGGCTTTAGCCATTAGAAATTTGAAATATCATTTGAACTTTTTATTTCAGATTGTGAAAAATATGACCACAACCACCCCAATCCCCTCAAATTCTTCATCTCGTACAGCGAAAGAAGAGGAAACGTTTAATAAAGGCGTCGTTGAGATCTTGACACCAAGTAAAGTTATGATGTTTTCAAAGAAAATCATTTTTTTTTCAGTTTTGACTTTTGAAGCAAAAGGAGTAATTGATGAAATCATCTATTTCGATGACACGATCCAAGTTGGCGAGATTTTAAGCGATTTCAACTTTACGGTTCTTCGAGATGGAGAGGTGAGGAGAAATATTGATGAACAAGAATCTATTAGCCAAATGATTGTTGTAAAATATATAATATCTTTACTGCATGCTTATAAAATCTTTTTTATTGTATATAATGAAGAAAAGTTCAGGATCAAACGGGCACAATCTCTCTGAAAACAGATGAAGAAGAGTTGTTGATGCCTACTCCACGACACATCACTCCTGGGAAAATAGCTCATTTGATTGTCGCCGATCGGGAAACGTTTTTTGAGCAGAAAAATTTAGAGATTACGGTAGCGGTTGTACTTTTCATCTAAAAAAATCTTTTTAGTTGATCGCTGAACTCTTCGGAGAAAGGATTACAAGAAGACTGAAGCTTAGGAAAAAGGAGAAAAATGAGATCTTGATTACTGAGAAAAAGCCAAAAGAAGAGCAAGAAGTAGAAGGGTCGGGAGAATGGTTGGAAGTTAATTTGAAAGAAATGAAAACAATTGGAAATGAGACAAAAGAGGGAAAAGTTGATGAAGAACCAACCTTGGCACCAATAAAGGAATCAAAACAATCTGATGAAACTTTGCCAATCATTGAAGATAAAATAGAGTCAAAAGAAAAAGCAACTATAACCAAAAATGAGACAAATGGGGAAAAGGAGAGAATTTTGATTGTTGATAATGAAGTGACAGCAGTGGAGACACTCATCGATCATTCGGTTCAACAGGTAAGCTTGAGAATTCTAGATTTAATTGTTTACTAGTAAAATTTTACCATTTGATTGTTTAGTCATTGGTGAAAAAGCTCAACGAGAATGAAGCGATAGATCGAAAACAATGGAATATGATGTCCGTTGAAGCGTCGATCTCACAATCAACCGAATCGGATCAACAGGAGATTCCATTGATCAAGGTTTTTCAATGTTAGCTGATGCAATCTTCTTCCAAGCATGTTTTGCTGTTAGAAATTGTGTACAGGATGTTCAATATTTATGGGGACCAGTAGTTTACTAGATTTAGCACTCATTTTGTACAAATTTAATGCTAAAAAGGAAACATCAATACGCCCAACATTAACGGAAGTCAACGTTTTTTCAAAATTATTGCCTTTTGCGCTGTTGTTTGCCTGGAAACATCTGTGGAGGGCGGATAAATTGAGTTTATCACAAACTCTCGTTAAGCTTTCTTGGAATAATCAAAACTGAAATGTGATTTTAACATCTTTAATGGGCCATAGTTTCGAAAACTGTTAAATAGTGAAGACTTTCTCATCAATTAACAAAAACAACTAGGGTCTGACTCCTTTTGGTGAAATTTGGTGATCGAGTTTCGATGAATCGAGTTTTGGAATATCAAATTTAGTAAATTGTAAAAATGATCTAGATAATTAAAAATAAAAATAATTTTTGAACTCTTATGCAGTGCTTTCTTGACGATTTTTTTTCATAAACCAATTTTGAGAGCGCTAACCGAGCTGCGAGCTCAAAAGTTCCCATAAATATTGAACATCCTGTAGTTTAATGTTTAATGGTAAGATTTTAGATAAGTATATTAAGTCGAATAGTGGTCAATAAACCAGTGTACTTTTTTCCAAAATTATTGCCTTTTGCGCTGTTGCTTGCCTAGAAACACCTGTGAAGGTCTAGAATTGAATGTTTTTATCTAACCATAAGGCCTTTAAGCCTGTAAGGATTTAATAGGTTTACCAAAGCTTTACATTCTACTGGTTTAGACTAGCAATCAACATTGTGAATTATATAAAAAAAGATCTTCGTCATTCCAGGTCTTCTCATTTTCTGTACCCGAATCAGCAAAGAGTGGGACGATTGTCGGAGAGATAAACGATTTGGATAAATATTTTATGACCGATGATGAAAAGTGAGTGTAACTAATTATCTAAAAACTGGTTTTCAGCAATTAAGCATTTCATTTTTCAGCAATTCTCAGAAATTCTTCTCTTTAGATTCTCCCTGCAATCCTCGCAACTCGTTGTTTCGTGTGAAAACGAGGACGTTTGTTTAGACTATGAAAAGGAGAATGAGTACAAATTATTGCTGTTACCAAGAAATGGTTTACTTTTAAACAACGGTTTATATCAAAATTAATTTATAGAAATCTTGGATGACAACGACTTCCTGATTCCCATTGAGGTGACTGTGAAAGTTGAAGACATCAACGAGTTCCCTCCAAAGCTTCGGGCTTTCGATTCAATGATACGAATCGCTGACGGAGAGTTGATCATGCCGTTTGCTATTGAGGTGACAAATACATCAAGTTATCCCATATCTAGATAGTTTTGGCTTTGGTTTGGGAAACATTTATTTTTCAACAACACTACAGATTGACGATGAAGATAGCGGAGAGGAGAACGTTCTCTCAATCGAAGGCACAGCTGCCGATTTCTTGACTCTATCAAAAATCGACAAGAAACTCTATGAAATTAAGGTTTTTAAAAAGAATGAATAAATAAGTATCAAATTTTAGACAAACAAATACCCGCTGAAAGGAAGTTACACTATGAAAGTGATTCTCAAGGATCGAACTGGGAAATTCCCGGAAGCACAATACGATGTGAAAGTTCTTGTAGCGGTGAGTCACTCAAAAGAATTTTTAAGATTTAAAAAAAACAAAAACATTTTAGAATACCAAATCGCGAGCACATTTCCGGCACCAGAAATACGAGAAATTAGTGAAAGCGGAGCTTCTCAAAAAGTACCTCAAAGTTTTATTAATAAAATCCTTTTTAGCAATCAAAATTTTAGCGATTAACTAGCCGCTAATTCAATTTAAAAAACAATTTGCCATTTAAAGACTAAGTTTTATAAACGAATTTAAATGTCATCTAGGGATAGCCGTTTGGCCGAGCCAGAACTCGAAGGGATCCCCATCGATTCGATTCGCTTTGTGATTCTCAGGTCATTAAAAATATATATTCAACTATAAAGAGCTATTTAGCTATTATTTTTTGGTTCAATGAAAAATTTTTGGAAGGCTTTATCAAAATATTTTTAGTGGAAACCCAGGATGGCTGAAAATCGATGACTATCACGGGCATATACTCGTTTCAAATATTCCTGAGTAAGATAGTTTCTTGATTAGACAAAAAAAAGGATTTCAGGAATGGATTCCCTACAGCGAAACATCTTTTGAGAATTGGAGCCGTGAACAGAGAGAATGATCTCGTGATGGCTGAATGTGATGTAGAGATTGAGGTTTTAGAGGGAAATTCCGGGATCTCCCCGTTCGGCCAACCAATTACCATAATCTCAAAGCATAGAGGTAGAGAAAGTTTAAGATGTATTTAATCAAATAAGCCTAGATAGTATGCATGTAAAATTTTCAGAAAACGAAGAACCCCTTGCAATCCCGTTAATGCTTTCAAATGGAGAAGAAGCCGAAGTGGAAAGTGTTGATGGGATTGACGAGAATGGGATGAGGATTAAATTCGATGAGGTGATGGAAACGGATTTTGCTTTGAAAAACGATTTTAGGCAGTGATTCTTGATAAACATTTGGTCATCCCGAGATCGATTTTCGGGTCGTTGAGAACCGTTCACGTTGAGCTTTCAAATCGAAATCACAAAGGTGATCTTGATCTTATTCCAGTAATGAGATAAATTTTAGCCTCAACAACCATTCATCTCACATCGACGCCTGAATATTTGGAGAAGAAAAGAAAAGAGGCAAATCAGCCAGTTTTTATTCATCCATGGACGAAAGAGAAACCGATAATTACTGTAAGTGATGAAATATAGTTAAAGTTACAGTATATCTAATTGAATGAGTACTGTAGTGCAATACCAAAAGTCCAAGATAGTCTTATCTAACCGGTTGGATTGAACTCTTGACCTTTTGACTAAGATAAAGGGCTCTTAGCCAGTCGGCCATGGCGGCCATCGCGGCCTTTCACAAGTAGCCAAAAAAGCAATCTTTTTGTACCTTGTGCTAATGCACTTAAATTTTAGAACCTTTTAAAATCTAGAGAGAAATCCGCGAAGAGGAGCCGCTTGGAACCATTGTGTTCGCTCTTCCGGCAAACAATCCAATGACAGGAAAAATGGTCTCAATCAAAATGACGGGAAAAGATGCGAGAAAGTTCACTTTGGATCAAGAAACAGGTAAAAATATAATAAAAGAAAACTCAACCCAATCCATATTCAGGATCAATCTTTGTTAACGCTCGTCTCGATTTTGACTCACTCACTGCCGATGAAAGAGAAATGGAAATCATTCTTGAGGCCGGCGAAAAGGGATACACTTCAACAGCAACAATAAATTGTGAGCAAGAAAGCAAGAAAGCGGAGGGATTATCGAAATTTAGTGATCCTCATTGATCTTGATGACAATGCACCTCAATTCGAGATTGAGAAGCCACTAGGAAAGGTGAAAAATGACGATTAAAGAAGCATTATCGATTTAGATTTCTTTACCCGAGCATTCCCCCTCAAAGACGCAAATTATGAGTGTAAAAGTGAACGATAAAGATGAGATCTCTAAAGGAAAACAGAAATACACGATACTTGGTTATGGAGTGGAGAATTTTGAACTGAAAGAGGTTTGAAAAGAGTTTTATTTCATAAAAATCAAGTATCCAGTTTCGCTACAGTAACTGGATTAAAGTATGCTGTTTAGATTAGAATTTTCCTGCCATTTTCTGAAATTTCTAAAACGTGTCAACTACAGTAATCTACTTATTTTTAGTATTTTGTGGACCATCACAGAATCAGACCAAGTAGCTATAAATAAATTTGATAAATTAGAGACTACAGTAGTTTCCGGGAGTTGACACGTTTTAGAAAACGGTTTATTTGGAAGAGCATAAAGTTGATCTTCTTCAATTTATTTGAAGGTTTAAGGGCATTCAGCCTTTTCACTCAATATTTTATCATGGCATATTGTTGTGAGAGAGATTACTGTATCTTTAACCTTTCACCATTCCAGATCAACTCCTCTGCTGTACTCACTGTTGCCGCAAATGCAAATTTGGATAGAGAAACTCTCAAAGAATACAACTTGATGTTACTTGTTGAGGATCCTGCCGGAAATCGGGACACTCTTTATGTTAGTGACTTCAGAATTTCATTTGAACTGAGTTCTTTAGATTGAAATTGCTCTAACGGATAAAAACGATCATCGACCAATGTTTGACGAAAACTCTTATGACATTGAGGTAATAAAAAGACGCTACTTGACTTTCTCATAATCAGCTCAGGTGATTGAACACTGGCCTCCGGGCACGTATCTTAATCAAATTGTTGCCAAAGACTTCGATGAGAATCAATCGATCACTTATACACTTCAAGGAAACGAAAGTGAACGTTGGTCCAACTGAATCTCTTTAAAAGTTACAGTAGTCCATTTTAAAATTTGCTCTTTCAATTCAATCAAATCCAATCTATTGGTTTTAATTTCTGAAAAACACATGAATTTTCAGACTTTTCCATTGACTTAAAGACGGGAATTCTCAAAATTGCTAAATCTCTCGATGGCTTGGGCAGAGATCAACCATATGAATTTACGATAATGGCTACGGATAATGGTAAGTAAAGTTTTTTGAACAAAACCTACCTTTGCGATGCTAAATAGTCTAGCCGGTGGGATTGAACCCTTGACCTCCCGACGAAGATACAGAGCTCCTAGCCAGTCGGCCCTGGCGGCCATTTTGTTATGACATAAAATGTTCATATCTAAATAAAGCTTTTACTATACTCAAATTAGTGGCTATTTAAGCAATATAATCAAGATTTTTGAAATGAAATCAATTCAGGAAAACCTCCATCAAATAGCAGTGTTCCTTTGAGAATCAAAGTCTCACTCCCAAAATATATTTTGGAGCACGAGAAGAATCAAATCAACTTCATCTTGCCTGAACACGATTTTGTTCTGGAGATTCCTGAAGTACGTTTAGGCATTGGTTACTGTGGATTGGCTGCCTTTATGTAGCTAAATTTCGATTTAAAACATAATTTGCTTTTAAAAGTCTTATGAAAATGTGCAGTCGTTGACTGTTGACAGTAGAGCCATTGGCCCATTGGTCGGTCTGCTTGTCAATAGGTGTTCAACGGAACAACGAGATTCGACCACTTCAATGACTACTTTTTCAGGATTTCTTGCCACATTAGGGTAGAATTTTCCAAGCTTTATCTTTTGGTCTGAAAAACCTTTGAAAAAAATTGCTGTTGAAGTTGTCAAATTTCGCTTTTTTCGTTGTACACCAATTGACAATCAGACCGAAAATGAACAGCTCTATTTGAGAGTACTACAATGTTAAGGGAACCGAGAAAGGGACGGTCATCTACAATGCTCGGGCTGTTGTGAAAACTGATGGAAATCAGACATCGAAAAATATTCGATATTCGGCTACAGTAAGAAATTGGATAAAAGCTGAAGAACTGAAAGTTTAGCCTTTGAATGTGGATGATGAAGGATATTTTGATATCGATGAGGATTCGGGTGATATCCTTGTGACAGGCGGGATCGATTACGAGAGAAAACAATGGGTTACGGTGGGTAGAAATGAGAAATGTGTCTAAAAAGATTTTGCATAAGACATTTACAAGACTAAAGTGCATTATATTGTCACAGATACAGTTTTGGTGAACATTTAATTGTTAAATAGAGGATTTAGAATGATAGATCGCTAGAGTTAGTAGATAAAGGATTTGCTAGGAAAAATTGCAACAACACAAAACAAAACAAAAAAAATGGTTCAATTTCACGCCTTTCAAAATACATTCAAGGATTCCGAAAGAAAAACTCTATTGTTGAAAGATGAAAAGAGATTTTCATCTCTTTGTCGATCGCGAGCGCGTACAATTTTTATTTTTATTTTTTATTTAATTTCAAATTTCGAAGTTTTATCATGTTCTTGAAATATAAAAAGAGTCATTTAGCCTCTTTTTATCGGTTAGCCTCGAAGATAGCTCAGTCCAAATCGGTTTAATTACCCAACTTGGTCTATCAAGCTGTATAACCTGTTATTTAACATTTTAAACTCTTTTACTAATTCTTTTTTAAAGTTTTTCTTTGTCTACTTGGCCATAAAAAATTGTTTAGTGTTTTGTCTATGATTTGACGAAACTGACGTTCGCTACAATCACTTCTCAACTTCTCTTGACCGTGGGCGAGAAATAATCCTCGAGAAATAATGCGTCATCGTGAAAAAAAGAGAAGAAAACTGCTGAAAAGTCGTGTAAAAGTTTTCTCAAATACCGAATAAGCTTAAAATTCTTCTCACTTCATCGCCAAATTACTCTCCCATTTTTCTGTTTTCTGTTTGACTGTTGAGAAGAGCGGAGTGAAGGGAAATCTTTCTTTTTCTGACACCTCGAACGGCCACATCAACGAACTACCACAGCTAAAAGTTTGTTTTTAAATACCAATATTCATTTCTTGTTATAATTTCTATTGTTTGTAGATTTTGAAGCTCAGGGAAAGGCTAGGGTACCTGGACTTGATTACTGTAACTGTTTAAATGGGCATCCTAGCTTTCAGCAGCTCTATAATAGCTAGATATTTCAAGAACCCTAACTTAACTACCGTAATCCAGACACTTGGAGTACGAGCTTTTCCTAAGCGCACTTTTTAGAATATGCAAAAGAACACGAGCTATTCTAATATGATCTCACTTTGTGATTTAAAAAGCTTTAGGAGACTCGTAATATTCTAAGATTTCCACTTAAAGATACTATTTGATAGGTGATGAAATGATAATGAAAAGCGTGAAATTGTTGACTTTTTCTACTTCTCCTTTCTTTTTCATTCTTCTCATTGTCTTCTCAATCATCTTCCTTTCCCCACCCTCTCCATAAATATTGACTTCCCGGTTTTTTTTCTTCAATGCAATCAATTAGCGGTTAGTCAGCTGTTTTCCTTCAATTAGATTTAAAATATTCCCTTTTTTGTTGGGATGTGATTTTGATTCTCTCTTCCAGCTCAAACCCACTTTGTCACCTCTCACATTGAGACCTGCTGGCCAAACGGTTAGGAGTCTTGTCTCTCAAGCGGAAGGTCGAGAGTTCAATCACGCTGGCTTCAAGATAAAAATGTTCCCTTTTCCCACCAATTGGGTTTTTTCTTTCACAACATTTGGATAATAGGGCTAATAGGGGTAACGACGGCCGCAGTGCGATAAAATTGTGTGTTTAGATCTTTCTTATTATGGGTTCTTTGTTGGTATCACATTATTGGTTTTCAATACATGTATTTTTAAATGTGATTTTGATTCTCTCTTCCAGATCAAATCCACTTTGACACTTCTCACATTGACGGTTGAATGATCATTCAACCGAGAATCCGTTCCAAAATTTCGAACTCAATTTTGGATTCACTCTAAAACAATGCTCTTACTCTAACTTTTCTTATTCTTTTTTTACAGACCTAGAACGTTAAAAGTTACAAATTTTACAAGTCTAACTATAAGTTTGCTGAGTTGGTCAAATTATGCATATGCATAAAGGGCTATCAGTTTATATCTGTCTACAAATCTACGTCTTATGCTTATTGCTTTAAGAAAAGCATGAGATTGAAAAAGCAAACTGACTAACAGATTCGATTTTGATTTAATTGCTTGCCTCAGATCCCATCCTTTCTCTCATTCCAAACCAATCAAATCCAAACCTACCGGTTTGGATTCGATTCGAGACTTAGAGAAGAGGAAAAGAGACATTTATCCACACGAATAATGTGGTACAAACAATACACAAGCATAATCTCTAAGCCCTAAATGTAGGGAAAAACCCATATATATGAAAAAGAGCCAATAATCTAGCCGGCGGGATTGAACCCTTGACCTTCCGACTAAGATACAGGGCTCTTAGCTAGTCGGTCATCGCGGCATAAAAAGTTAGATAAAAAACGGAAAAATTTGTTTAAAATTCTCGAACGAACATTAGAGACACACTCAATTTCACCTTTTCGACTGGTATGCCCATAAATCAAAACTAGAGACAACTAAATATTTTCCTAAAAGGTCAAGAAAACAACCAATGCTACGTTGAAAGATTTTTAAAAACCTAGATTTTAATCCTTGACCAGTAACTTGATTTGTAACTCGAATCTCAAACTTTCCCAATCTAAAAGTTAGTATCTGTTTGTTATTCGTTTCATTAAATCTCAAAAGGTTCATGGATATCTGAATCGAATCGAATCTCTCAAGTCTTTGGATCTCCTGTCTTTTCCTCTTTTCCCCCTTCTTTACTCTTAAGAAACACGAAGAATCCTCTTCTCGTATCACCACTAAATAAACAGTTCTCTTATCGATGAGATCCTTTTCTTTTTTTCTGATTGAAACATGGATACTTTTTCCCCACAAGTGCTTTGATATCTATTTTCTTATGCTTTTTTTCCATCCGTCTTCCAAATAGGTTTCGAATATTGATAGTGGTCTATTGTGACTAAGACTAAAGCAGTTTTAAAAGTTCGGTTTGTTTTTTGAGAGTCCAATCAAATGAGAATTCTGTTTTTTTTTCCCCCCTTTCTTTGGGGGTTAGTTTTTCCCCCCCCCCCCAAAATTTTTTAAAAAACCCACCCACCTTTATAGAGGAATCCCCCTTGGAATTTGGGCATGGTAAAAAACGAAGCCGGTCCAGTCGCATTTCTCTTTACCGAGTCGTAAGGGGAAGTCACTTATACCAGAGGGGTTTGCCAGATGGCGAGCGATTACCCGCCGCACAAAGAACACCCTTTTGATGATTTTCCTGAGTTAAAACCAAAACTTGGCTGCATGACAACGTTTACAACAACAAACAAGTTTCCTCCACCCAATCCATTTCCGCTTTTCCCCTCAATCTGATATCGTCTCTCCACCTTCAATGTTTGAAGGCGTCACTCGACAAATACAACATAAAACCCCGCTTTTTTTTCTCAATACCAAAAAAGCGCATTCACGCATTTTCTTGTCCAATGTCAGTTCAAAGTTTTTCCTTTTCAATTCAATGATAGCAACATTTTTCTATTTTTCCCGATTCTCTTCTTGAAAATGTTTGTCTCAAAAAGGGACACCTTCTTGTTTTCCCCGATTTTCGTGTGTTCCGTAACCCTTTCCCTCCTAAATTCTCGCCATTTTGAGGCGTTGAGTAAACTTTTCATTTTCGTTTTCTCTTTCCGCGTTTTCTGAACTTTTTGCAAGATTTTGAGAATTTTCCTTGTTCTTCTCGAAAAAAGAAAAGAACAAGTGATCAGAAATAAGTCCAAAAAGGGACAAAAATCTTAAAAGGAATTGAAGGATTAAAACAACTTGTACAGACACGATAAGGAATCAAATGAGATCATAAAATCTGAAGAAAGGATTAAGGTAATTATCTATTTCGAGACTATCCACCTTTTAAAAACGCATTCATCGTAGTCGGGAACACACTCTTTAAGCATATTAGAATCTATCTAATGTAAGTAAATGCTAAAGAATTTGATCGATAATATTTTGTAGTGTTTCGATCAGCAACAAAAAACCTTTTCTTTCTCCAGAAAATGTTGCAATATCAAGCCATAAACCGTATCCGAAAGAGGTTTGAACTTGAATAAAACGATTCCTTGCCAACCATTGCCCTCTCAATATTTGCACGATTGTATTTTGTGGAGATTTTTTTGAAATTCTGAACGAAACACACGTGTGTATTCTGTCTTTCCCTTTCCAGATCTACTTCTTTCTTCGTTTTTTTTCATATATCGTTTCCTCTGGGAAAAGAGTACTTGAAAAGAATCGCTGTGGGTGCAGCTGTAGGGTGGAGAGAACGAGAGAAAGAAGAAATGTTGGAGAGAAATAGAAAAGAGAGAGAGAGAAACAGAATTGAATGAAACTCCTTCTCCATTCCTTCCATTCCAATCGTTGATCATTCGTTCGGAGTAGTGATGATTGAATGAACGATTCGGCATCTCTTTCTTTTCCCGTCACCATTCTGAGATCTGTTATTAACTGTGGTTGCCATCGACAGCTATCAACAATCTAGCTATCCCTATATAATCCTATCTACAATTTTTTTTCATCAACATACCTACGGTATAGATAACTTGTTATCTAGATAAAGATACTGCACTGTTTTAATAGCTTTTTTTGCTACAATAGCTTTGAAATCAATCGGACGAAGATACTGAGTTGTGTTGGCTGAACACTTTTGCCCTGCCAAGCACGGGAAGTTATACAGTAGCCCAATCTACAGCCTTTTTTCCTTTCTATTTTGCATCAAAGTCTAGTATAAACCTTGTTTTGTTTACTTTTGCGTCTAAACCCAGCTTCTCAGATTCGTTTCAATCCTCATTTCCGAAGCGTGAGGACGTGTCGGTGGGTTTGATGGACAAATTGGAGAAACGATTGGGGCAATTCTGGAGAAGAGTTCGAAGGGGACGCTTGGCTACAAGAGACACACAAAATGACCAATCACCACAAAGGAGATCGAAAGGAAAAGAGAAAGATCGAGATGAACAGGTAAAAGATTCTAGCTGGCTAAAATATGATAATTTCAATCAAACTCGGCAGTTCTTTAATCTCCCTACATTTGGTTTTTTCTAGACAAAGCCTTGACCGATGTTTGTCTAGAAAAGACTTGTTTTTTCATCTTTTGACTCAACAAAAGTCTTTTTTTGGTAGTAAGCCTAAAATTGACCAAGTCAGTGGAAAAATACTCTTTTCATAGACAGGATTCACCCTTTCATTGACTCACCAAAAATAGAAAGAAAAACCTTGAGAATGAAACTGTCCAAATATTTTAGCCGATCCCGAAACCTCCAAAATTGATCGATCGAGGTGGAGATGAAAATGAGAATGAAGAAAGAATTAGAGGAAAAAGTCCCGTGCTCACAAATCATTTCATCATTCATATGAGACCGAAAAGGGATGGAGATGTCGATCAGAGTCGATTGCATGCTGTTGTGCCAAAAGTACGAAAAAGTTTACAATGGTCGAAAGTGTGAGCTTTGATCGAAGCCTTTCATACCACTTTGCCTGAACTCCAATTGCTTTCTTATAGTTAGAGAAACTTTGTGAAGAAAGCTGGCTAAAAAAAGAAATTCGAAAGAAATCAATCAATTTGATGAGCAATAGACAAAACAAATTCCAATATGTGCTTGAAAAGAGTCCGATCAAATTCGCTTTTTAGTTAGTTGCTGCTGAATTATCACCATCGCCGAGAAAACCTCCGAAATTGGTCACCGCTGCACAAAAATCCCCACCAACACAGCGATCACCCACTAAACCAACAAAAACAAAAGGAAAAAGGTAAATCTGCTCAAGTTTTTTTAAAACAAAAACTTTAGTGAATTCGAAGAAATATCGAAAAAGAAAAACGTGATCATTCGAAGACAGAGCTCGAAAAGATCCGAATTCGTGACAAGTTCCGATGGAATGGAAGTGAAGAGGGAAACGAATCCACGGCCGCCATCACAAGTCATGCAAATATTCCTCCCGGCTTCACTCAACGAACTTGGAAAAGAAGAGCTGAGCCTGAAAAAGGAAAACAATCAACAAAATGAGAAAGTGATCTCGAGGAGTGCTGATCAACAAAAGGATCGATCGGGAATGAATTCTTCGCGAGGATCATCGATGGGTAGTCCAATCGAGAAGAGCTGCGGGCAAGGTTGGGAAATTTCTGGCATTTTTTCACGAATTTTTTAGCTTTAAAGATAACATATTTGTAACTTCGTACTCGTTAATGAATGTCTTCCCTTGCAGTGAGCGATTCGGAGTTGCACATCCGAATCCCTGACTCTCCGCCATTATCAGGATCAATATCTCTATTGTCATCTTCTGTTCGGCCATCGACTGTTCAATCGACTCGTCTGCCGCGTTTCGAGTTCGACGATTCGAGTGGATACGAGTCTGGATACCTTTCACATATTGATCTCAACACACCGGAGCTCTCGTTTATAAGGTTTGCATAGACTCTAGCATAAGCCCCAAAAATTTAGACCGGATTCCGGCAATCTCACCCTGGAAACTCGTAAAATCAGACAACGAGCAATAAATGGACGATTGCGACCGTATAGAGCTGAGTCTCATGATGAGATTCATGCACGAAGGATCCCATCGGAAGAACCTGGGACTTTGTTCTTGATGAGATCATCGATGGCTTCACATAGCGACATTCATGCACTCATCGATCCAAATCTCAGGTCAGTCACTTCGCTGCACAACAAATTTTGTTTCTGGAAGCCTACTCTGGGTTTATTATTTCTACCTTTAGAAATCGTATTGATAAGACCAAATTCATCACGTGCACCTTTGAGGCAGCAAACGCGGGATTGGATGCAATACTCGGTGATGTTGTTGAAGAGTTGAAAAGGTATCAAAAAGCAAATTTTGATTGACTACTTTCGATAATTAGATGGATCGATGGATCGGCTCTGGGAGTCGCCTGTGAGTTGCACTGGACTGTCCCCGAGAAGTACAGGAGTCGAATGCATGAGTGCAGGTAAGAAAAAACAGCCACTGAAAGCTGAAAGCTTTTCTCAAAACATATGCAAATATTCCCAAACCCATTGCACCTTTTTTTCTTTGACAATAGCGATTTGTTCGGCTCGATTGAACACCCGGAGACTCCGGATATAATGGGGAATTTGGCATTCAATCAAAAAATAAATAGCAGATTGGCTTTAGATTATAAGAAATCGGATACGGTGTGTCTATATCTATTCATAGATTAAAATTAGAATAAAACATCCGTTTAGATTTTTGTACTCTAGTTTACACTTAACAAAGGAATAGTGCCGGATTGTTTTTTAGGACGATTGTGTTGGATTTTGCAGTTTTTAGAACTCTATCATTAGATAAGCTGGATTCAATTGAAAAAAACAACCTTGTTGGAAGCAATCCCTAGTTTGAGCTACCGAAAGTTTATCTTTTAGCTATTCGCAAGTGTTTGGGTATAGTATCAAAAGTAGCAAAAGCATTTTGGAAGGTATAGTACAAAAATCGGATAGTCACTTGACCCCAAACCTCTGGTTTTAATAAAGCAATTTGCATTTTGATTCAAATAGAGGAGAGATCGATTTGGAGAGAACAATGATTCGTCCAACTAGTCGCCCTTCTCCCTCTCCTCTTCCTCACTTGTGCCATACGTTTCCGAGTTCTGGGGTAAATATGGAAGAGAAAGAAAAATTGGGAGTGAAAGCGATCGGTTCTTTTTCTCTCTTTTCCCATACATATTGCTTCGATTACTTCTCTTCCCGTTTTTCTTCTTCAATTTCCTTTCAATGACACTCCTCGATCCGAGTCCCGTTTCTCTCAAATTTAGACAAATCGAGCCAATGTAATACGTAAAAAGGTTAATGTTCTAAGAAATACAAAAGGGTTTAGACTAGGATCTGCAAAGTTTTAGATCTTACCGCCTTAATCTTTACTCTTTACTCTCCCTTAATCTTTTTATCACAATTTAACTTTTAAACGTTGCAAGCAGACTTCATGGTTACAAAAATTGGGATATTTTATGTAAAGCTTTCAGTTTACCCACCGTTAGAAGTAATTTCAGATTAAAAGAAGCAGTGCATCGTGTTTTGCGAGAGAACAACCGAGCTGTTCTAAGAGTTGAAGATGAAAGTCACGGATTGAAAGCATCCGAGGATCGTTTAGCTGAATCGAATACACGAGAGAATCAAAGAAGAAATCCGAGAAACGATTCTTTTGAAGGTACGACTTAAACCGGGAAAAAAGAAACTAAAGAACCACGACTTACACCTGGAAATTTTCTTCAGGTGTTTATCAACGCTGCTACACTCATTTGTTGCCATATTGTCATCGAGACACGGCTCATTGGCATCATCCGTATTGGAGTTGGCACAGCTTGGACAGAAATCAGCCGGTGCGTTTTTGTCAAACTCGACATGGGACGTTTGAAGCGCGATTCGGCTACCGTAACCCAATACAAATAGTAGATATTACAGTAGCCTAAGTGATTTGAAGAGTAACATAGCAAAGTCTATAAACAGCACGCTTGATGCGCTACGGTAGTCGGCCATGCTCAGCCTATATACCGCAAGCAAAATTTGTACCATTTCTGCATTATCTGGTTTATCAATGTTACCGTAGCCGAGCTACGGTAACATCTCTTAAACTACGGTAACTGGGGCCCGCTTTGGAGCACCACGTTTTCAAAAAAAAGTTCAGCCAGTTACAATATTCTCTAGTTGATGCCTCGTGCCGAATTGTTCTCCTCAACAGGAGCGGATCCGCATCATTCGTCAATCCTCGCTCTTCACATCGTTTCCCTTCGTCTCCGTCGTCCCCGGGCAAAGTCAATGAATGATGTACTCCAATAAATACATGACTTTAGTTTTTTTTATATTTTTTCTTTTTTCTACGCACTCATCGTTTTTCTCATTTCAACTTTGTAGTTTTTTTCTTTGTTTCGGGTTTGATAAATATTTGGCTTTATTGACAATGAAGTGGTAACAACACACACGAAATTAACTATGTAAATGGAGTTTTTAAACAAATTGAATAATCATGTTCTTTAGTTACTCTTGAAAGCCGAGAGCTTGTTGAACGAAAATTTGACGGATGAGAGGCTTTTGAGGGTAAAAGTCGTCGATATTGATGATAATCCTCCGGAGTTTGTCGAGGTGAATATAAAGTCTCAATACTTTTTATTGTATTAATAAGAATTTCGATTAGCCAATTTTGATTTAGAATAAACATCAAATTTTCCGTGTTGATCTCTCTTCGTTCAACGGGACGAAAAAAATTGGCAAACTGCTCGCGGTGGATAAAGATGAGAGACCGAATGATCGCTTCACCTATCATCTTATTCCAGAGTGTAAAAGCTACAAACTATTTTGTGACTCAGAGTCAGAAGGACCTACTAAATAGAATAAAACATAGAATTAAGCCACAAAGTTCATTTCAGGCAACCCACGACTCAAAACTTTGCTCAAAGTCGATCAAAAGACTGGCGATCTTTCTTTGAGTGGAGAGATTCCAGTCAATGTACAGGACTTGGAAATTTTCTGTGCCCTTGTTAGGTAAAGATATTGTGATTTTTTGAGTCAAAAATCTTTTTTAAAACCTTATCTTTCAGCCCAATTGATCACCCTGATCTCAATGCGTTGGCCTTTGATTCCCAAAATGCTTCGATGACAAGATTGCAAGTCAAATTCTTGAAAGATGATCACGAAAAAGCGATGGCGTTGAAATTCTACCCAAACAACACCATTCTTACAATTGGTTTGAAATTGCAGAATATGATTCTTATTCCCTTTCAATTTTAGATCCAGATTTGGTAAATCTGAAATTCCCACTCATTTCCCCGTATCATATTCCCGATGGAATCACGTTTGAACGAGGAAATGTCGACTTTGAGCCGTGAGTATCTTGTCTTTTTTGTCTTACCTAAGCAATCCGTTTTCTAAAATGTGTCAACTTTTGAAAACTCCCGGTAATCTCGCGCTTATTAGAAGCTAGAGACCAGCTAGAGACAAGGTCACGGTATCTTTTGAAGGTTGACACGTTTGCCATCATTTGAGATGAAAGTACATTCTAATTATTGATACTTAAAAGTCAAACTTATTATTGATACTTAAAAGTCAAACTTCAGAGCTCTCTATGCTTCTCCAATGTCATCAAATTGGAGCTCATCAATCTTTTCCATTGATTCACAAACGGGTGCCCTTCGTGTTTCACCGTTGATCATAACTGTCAACGATCAGGTAGCTTTAATATTTATACATTTACATTTATTTAACATGAATAATGTGAGATAAACAAATGCACAACTCAAGACACAACTCCTACTGCCCTAATACCTAAGATGTTGCAGAGAAAAACTCATGTATATGGAAAAAGCGCCAAATTTTCTAGTCGCTGGGATTGAACCCGTGACCTCCCAACGATGATACAAGAGGAGTCTTGTATCATCGTTGGGAGGTCACGGGCCAATCACTCGGCCATGACGGCACAAAAAAGAGGCAAAAATTAGGAAGATATTGGAAAATCGATCCCCAAAAAAGGATTACAATGGTTTTTCTGGGGCATCTTTTAGAAAAACCCTTTAGCCGAAAGAAACACAGTTTACTAACAATTTTTGTTTACAATCACTTTTTTCAGGGTATCTTCAAAATTTCTGTAAACGCCATCGATAAAAAGACTCGTCAGCCGATTGCCCAATTCACTCAAAATGTACTTAAGCGAAAGTTTATACGTAAATATTCAATTGTTTTAGGTTCATCTCATTGATGACGAGGAAAAGCTGAAATTCGTTTTTGAAATGGGCCCCGCCGAGCTGGCTTACAATGGAGAAAGATTGCTTCGGTGAGATTCCCAAACATTGGTGATCAAAGAGAAATTTTAGGAAACTCGCCGATGCATTGATATCCGAGGATCCCGAAAAAGAAATCGATATCGTGGGAGACAAAATCGAGAAATATCCGGGAGAGAAAATGAGGTGAACAACGAGTTGTACTAGGGAAACGAATTTTCGAGAGTCCTAGAAGTTGAGAACTTTTCTGAACACCGATTACGGTTTGAAACGATTTAAAACATGACTTGCTACCGTAAGCCGAACCATGAGTAAATGCTACAGTAACTTAGTTGCAGTTGTTGTTGTGATTACTGTAGCATCGACTAACTTGGGCTAACTAACTTGGGCAGAGCTTATAGTTAGGGTTACGATAGCTCCTAGAGTTATTTATTGTCTAGAAAATTTATTGCAAACTCCTGGCATAGACTTAAGTTGATCTAAAATAAAATCTATTAAGCTCTTGATAATCAAGAAATTTAATTCAGAAGTTCAATCTGTGTTCATGCGGCAAAAGATGGTCGATTGTTGTCAAGAAATGATCTGTTGGGTATTGTCTCGTCGGCTCTACAAAAATCTACATCATCCCTGCAGAATCTTTATCATATTTTTAAAGTGATCAATGTTGAAGTAAGCATTTCGAATCACATTTTGACTATTAAAGATCTTGTTCTCATTGAAAATTCATTTAGTCCTGTGACACTGTTTCCTATCAACGACCTCTCGAATCAGCCAATCCACTTTCGCAATCGGTTTTTTTAAAATCAAATGATGATTTAAAATAATAGTTTCTTCTTTAGTTTATGTTAATGCTATGTGTGATCTGTGTGGTTTTGCTTTTCGTCTGGGCTCTTTTTGCCTACTACTGTTTTGTGCATCGATATCGACTGTATCTCGATGAAAAACAACGAGCGGCTCAAGGTAATTTCAATGGAAACTATATTAAACTCATATAATGTTAGCTTTCTCACAATGGCTTGTACAATGACTACAAATTAAATTTGAAAGCAGAAGATTTTCGACTTCTCTTTATCGCTTATTGCACAATTAGCAAATCGGTTGATAGGCGATAGGCAAAAGCTAACCGGCAACTGCTTGCATTACTGCTTATAAAACACTTTGTTTCTTGTTAGTTAGTAAATAATAACTAACAAGAAAAAATATAGTGATTCATAAGTGATTCTTGTTAGTTAGTTATTTTGGCAACAGATACAGTACTGGACAATGAAATATCATATTTGAAAAAAGATCGTCACTTTCGCGTGTCTGTAACTCCCTTGTCTTTACGGTATTTCTAAATATTAATATTACCATTGTGTAGCCCTTGAAAAGAGCTTTCAGAAAATGTATAACACTAATAGTTTAAACGCAAAGACAAGGGAGTTACAGGCGCGCGAAAGAGACGATCGTTTTTCAAATATGATATTTCATTGTCCAGTACTGTACTATACTTTACGTTATCGGAAATTCTCAGGTCTTGACAAGAAAAGCTATCCATCATCAACATTGCCACCGCCTCCAATCCCACCCCATTATCTGCCAAAGTAAGAACTTCATTTTAATTGAATTTGAAAAGAAAAAAATCTATTTTAGTCTACCGCCGATCTACTAAAAAGTACGGGAAGTGATTTGTATAGAAATTTAATAAAACTTCTATTTTTAAAAATAGTTTCAACCATTTATTCGTTGCAATGCGATCAAAAAAGTGCACAAAAGAAAAACTCTCGGGAAACACAACAGAAAAATCAAACAAAAAAATAAAAAAGGTAGATAATCGCGGTGAGGGTGGAATCAAAGTAGAAATTTGAACAAAAATCGAAAATTATCAAAAATGCCTGAACTTTCAACTGTACAAGAATCGAGAAAATTGGTAAAAAGGACTAATCTGAATCGATAGTTGAATGCAGCAATCAAATCGAAAAGAGAAGTGAAGTGTGCTCAATGTATTTGTGCTGAATGTTCACCAAATCACCTGTGTGTAAAAAAAATCCAATTGAAAATGGGAATTGGATTGATCAAGATATCTTAATCTTAAGAATTGACCTTAAGTTGTAAGCTTTTCTCAGTGTTTAATCCCAGGCCAGACTACAGCATACCGGGCTTAAAAGTATTCAGGATACATAATATCTTATATCTTTAACAGATCACATATCTTCTAACAGATTCAAACGATTTATGGGTACTCAGAGTTGATGCCTGAATATTTTCACCCGGTTTAGTGTAGCTTAAAGCCAGGTCAAGCCTTTAGCTGAATAGCTTTAGCTAGCTATTCTATTCTTTAGCTATCCTGAGCTTTAGGTATTCAGCTAAAAGTAGCCCCAGTAGAATTGCTTATCGATTAAAGTTAGCGCATAATAGAACATGGATTAGCTACTGCAAATACTAGATTATTTGGCTTTTCTGCGATCACTATTTGGTACCAACTTGCTGGCTAATCATGTCTAATATCCAGGCTTTATCTTGCACTCAGCCTACAGTAACTTGTCTGCATTTGTAGCTTGTAAGTTTCAAATCTTGGACCAAATCCAGATTTGTGAAATTTTCCTCATTTTCAATCAAAACATCAAATAAACCTAAATAGAAATTTGTAGAATCGATTATGCTCTCGAATTTGAAGAGAAAAAAGAGAATACAATGACGCACCATGAATTTCACGGGGATTCACTTTAGGGGGATAAAACTTAATTCGATAGCTACAGAAATCACGAATTATTCCTCGAAATGCACATCATACACGAAAAAAAACAAAAATTGAAAACACCACATAGAAATATTTCAAAAATCGTTTTCCAAAGTTTCTTTCTTTCTGATTTCTTTTTGGGATATCACATTGTTTTAGGGTGGGCCACTAGAGGGAATTATGGAAGAGATTCAAAAAAAAATTGTTTAGGCAACTATTTCTTTTCAGTTTTAGAATGGGTACATACAAAATAACCGTCGTTAAATGAGCTGCAATCGGAAGAAAATGAGAAAAATCAGGATCGGGCCACACAAATTGCTATTGCTATTCTGTCCAAGAAAAAGGCTTAAATTTTTTGTCGAATCTTAATTAAGAAATTGGGGATTTGTGTAAGAGAAATTGAGGAAAGCCTCGGGATCAATTGAAGCGAGGAGATTCTTGTCGTGGATTGGCGTGAGCACCGCTTTTTCGGAGGTGAAATCCTCGTCAAAATTCGAAGCATCCGAAGCCGATTTCTGAAGGGATTCCATAAGAAAACAACTTTAACTCATAAAGTCAATCAATTTCAAAAAACTATAAGTTCTACTTTACTTATTTAGTACTATTAAGCTACGACAGGGACTCTTAAAACCGTAAGAACGTAAGAGGTTAAGAAGATAAAAATATGGAGATTTTTGCTTATTCTAAAAGGGTAAAGGAGAAGCTAATGATATTTTTTTTTAAAACTTTTGAAATAAGATATTCTACTCGTTCAGAATCATGTTTTATATACTTTATATACTTTATTAGCTAGAAAGTGGTGCTTGCAACTCACGATATTCGGTTTGAACGGTGGTTGCATTTGTCGAGCCTCGAATCGTTTCCAATCGATTCCCCGGAAGAAAGCATGTTGTCTGACTGGCCCGTCTGGACATTCCGGCATACCAAGACGAGTATTCGGATTACGATCGAAAAGCTGAAATTGGATTTAGTTCATAATTTTGCCTAAAAATTTAAAAATTGGAATATTGAAGTATTAAATTTGTCCTTGTCTGTTTTGTCCACCTTTTTGAAATTTTCGTTTATAAATGAATAATTATCTGATAAACGTGTGGTTTTTTTAAAATAAAAAACATTAACTATTTCATTTCAAAGGCTTGGTGAAATATGATGAAAATTTGTCTATCTGACTAACTTTTTATTCTCTATCTTTGTCTTTTAACATTTGTGAAAAAATGCTCGAATCGGAACTTTAAGTTTCATCGTTTTTGACTGCTCGACTTCACACCTTTAAAAAAATGAACGAACACGAGATTTTCAGTATTTCTTAAAGGGCAACTTGTAAATAAATAATAGGACTTTCTGATAAAAAGAAATCATAGATTGATTAGTTCATTATTCATAAAAAAAACGGACAAGACTTTCCGGCCAACTTGATAAAAAAAACTCACAGCTGACAGACATTTCGCCGCTTCTTTCGATATACTCTTTGGGAAGTACGGTCTCTCGTTGAGAATCGAGTCAAATAATTCATCTTCTCCTTCACCGTGGAATGGCGATTGACCGACCAACATTTCGTACATCTGAAAAACTTACAATTTTTCGAAACTTTCATCCTATTTACCAAAACGCCAAAAGACCAGAAATCGACAGCCTCGTTGTAGAGTTGGCCTTTGATGATCTGGAAATGATGTGAATAGAACAGCCTTTTTCAATACTTTTTGTTATATTCAAATTTTGCATTTTAGACATTTTGTACTTTATTCAGCACACAATGTTTAAACCATAAGGGAAAGGGAAACCAAAATTTACAAACCTCAGGACTAATGTAATCGGGCGTTCCACAGAAAGTGCTCGCCATTCCATTTTCCCGATTCATTTCTGTCTGAAATTAGCTTTTTTTTGAAAGTATGTTTCACTCGGCAATCCCACCTTTGCCATTCCGAAATCAGCCAATTTCACGTGGCCTTCCGAGTCAAGGAGAATGTTATCCAATTTGAGATCTCTGGAAACAATTTGGTATAGGGAAAAGTCTGCATAGATTTTAAATTTAAGCCAGAACGATCGATCTACAGTGAGCTGTAGTTGGGTATTTCTTAATCTTGTGAGCAATTTCCGAACCTCTAACAAGTTTTTTCTTTCGATGGTTTTCACAAAATGGCAAGCTATTCGCTATTCAAAAGTACACTTGATCTTTGGATTAATCTGTGTCTTTGTACAAACCTGTAAATAATATTATTCGAGTGCAAAAATTGAAGCGCAATGATGATCTCACAAGCGTAGAACCTCGTCCGTGTCTCGTCGAATCGTTTCACCTACAAATTTCCCGATGAAGCGAGCTGCTCTTTTTCAAGTAATACCTGTTGAATATGGTGCATCAAATCACCGCCATTCAAATACTCCATCACAAAGAAGAGATATTCCTGAAGATTTTTTGATTATTTAGCTTTTAAAGATATGTGGTTACGTTTGTTTGGAATGAGCAAAACATTTGACATAAGAACGGGCATTGAGAGGCTAAAATGAGCACTCGCCGCTCGATATAGGTGCACTCTGTGTCATCGTCTTCTGAAATTGAAAGTTGATTGGAAAAGTATTGATCAGAAAGATTAATAGACTACATTGATAAGAAAGAAATCAGATTTCATCCCCAAATTTGTACCGATTCCGTAACCTTAACCCGATTTAGGCAAAATCTGATTGGACTACGTTCGCTCTCTTGTCTTTCAAACTATGAAATAAAAATTTAGACACTTTGGGCTTTGGGCTTTTCAAAAGTCAAGTGTCGAATGTCACTTGGATGCAAAATACAAATAGAAAAATAGCCTATAGACTTTTCTTTAACAAAACTCACCCAAAATCACATCTTTCTTGAGGCATTTCATCGCGTAGTACTCGGATTTCCCCTTGAGCTCCACCAAAAGCACCTAGATTTTATCGTTTTGAACATTTAAACAATTTTAAATCATTCCCCACTTTTCCAAACGATCCCTTTCCGAGCACTTTTGCCATCGTGAAGTTCGAGAGATTGTACTTTTTGTCTCCACCCGTCCACAACTCCTTTACGTATCTAAATTTTCTTTTTCATTTTAACTTCTATTTATCATTCGAACTTTAGAGAACTACAGTCAATTAATTCATGACTTTTCTTGAAAATCTCTAAAGTTCGAAGAAAGCAAAAGGTTTCAGAAAAAAAGAAATGAAATGAAGCGATTAGTAGCATGAAGCGACGATCCAAATATTCAACTATCATAACAATGAAAATGAGCAATTTTTCTAAGCCAGAGTGTGCTACCAATGTGTTTTCTAAAACGTATTAATTGTCAAAAACTACCGTACTCTTGACTCTAGGTTTATCCTTTCTGAATTCTCACAAAATTAGACCAAAAGTAGATAGACTGAATAAAGGTGAGCCAAGATTATGGTAGCTTTCAAAAGTGTTCACATTTTAGGAAACGAGCGGAGAGAAACACACTCTAGTCTAGCTAAAGAAAAGCAAGAAAAGTGAAGAAATTAACGATTTGTTTTTACTGACTCTATCGATATTCTCTACCTGGAGACTCTATCGAGACTGGCCGTCGATCTAACACAAACGGCATTAACGAAATTTCAGGAATTCTTATGCTATTATTTTTCATTTTTATTTTGTCAACTTTTGTTAATTTCAAGTTATATCTATAATATTAGACTATGTTAGTCACACCGCACCTTCAAGAAAGCCCCATTCTATTCAACCCATTTCCCTATTTTCAATCCCTTTCTCATCTCTCACTTATTCTCTTTCACGCTCATCGCATTGATCTCCTTTATGGACATGAGTGTGACATCATCTTGCAGATAGAATTGACTATTTTTTGCGTCTTTTGCTTGACTTGATTGCGCTTGTTCTTGGTGTGGATGTGCGAGAAGATTCCCCAATACATGGTGCTCTTTTTTCCTTTTTTTCACCAACCCTTTCGGCATCACGCCATTGCCTTTCATCCCATTCTCTCCGAGTGACATGGCAGACATGTTCGGTACGCTGAAGCAATCGGTTATTCAATCAATTTCTCGAAACAATTTTCCAACCTATGTGGATGTTTTCCTTGTTTGATCTCGAGCAGCGCTTCACTCAATTGTTTCTGATTCACTCCACAGAGATTCGGGATTAATTTCTCGCATTTGTGATGACAGGCAACGTTACACACTGAATTCATAACATATGATTGTGTAAAAAGAAAGATTTTGGTATTACCGTAACACCTGTAACAGGTCGTCCATCTTGTAATTTTAGGTATTAATTAGCTAATTGTTTTGACCAGGATAGTTCTGTCCGGTCTGGCTTTAATGCTGACCTGGCTGACTTGGCTTACAAAAAAAATCTAGCCAAAAGTCTAGGCTTATCTGGCTTAGGCTCCAGAGTTGAACATGCAGGTCCTTTTATGGGTTGGAGCTGGGAATGGTCGGCGCCGGGATTCGAACCCGTGACGACGGGCAAACGCTCTACCAATGAGCTACACCAACACGTATCCCTATGCTAACTGCCAGGAAAGAGGCTTATCCCTTACTTCTTTCCTAGTTGAAAAGAAGGTATTATCTATTACAGGTATTACGGTGATAAAGCTTTTTAAAATTTGCTGATTTTACCCCTTTTTCCCTCATCCTTGGTACGAGCTAAAATATTGCATAAAACGGTTATCCTTTACCAAATTACTAACGAATCTGCTGGCATTTCTTTTTTGTTTTTTTTTTAACCTCACCTTCACACCGTAATCCCTGCTTGAAAAGCCCGTAAAGCATCGATCCACAGTGATCACAAAAAGTGGGACTCTTGAAGTTGTAGACTTTGAAGCGATGCGGGATGTCCACTTTGAAGCGCTCTTTCAAAGCCTGAGAGAAATTTTATGCAAAAAAAATTCAGTTATTAGTCGATAATGAAAAGATAATGAGAATTTCCACAAACTATAGTCTCTTTCGTGTTTTTCGCCGATCCGGGGCACTGAGTGAGTAATTTGTCGTGACATTTCTTGTGCACAGACGCCGAACACAATTGACATTGATAACCCTGTTTGTTTAGGCCCCTGAAATTTGCGTGTAAGGTCAATGTACAGAATTTCTTTGTCTACCACATGAAGTCGGAGCAGAACTGGCAAAAAGTAAACTGGCGAAAGAATGTGGCCACGAATTGATGCCCTCGGATCTCGTGGACCTGGAAATTGGAATAAAACTTGTAAGCAAGTAAACCCTTCGAATCCTAATATACACTTATTGTTTTTTTCAGTTATATTGGTTTCATTGGTTGAATGAGATTGCTTGGTACCAAATTTGATTTGATTTAGTGAAGTAACAGCTTTCTCTGACTGGGAACCGAAATACAAAGAAAATCCTTATAACCTACTTATAAGCGACTTATAAGCTTGATAAAGTCCCCCTAAATTATCTATCTTAAGCTTAAGCAAATTATCCATTCATCTTAAGCTTAGGCATTCTGCAAACCTTGGCATGTTTGATGGCTCCACGCCGGCGCTGAATGCCATTGCCGTGTGAGGAGCCGAATCCGCGCGCGTTCATCCCCTCGTCCGCCGCGATTTCATCGTTGTCTTCGTCTGGAAAGTGGTTTTCATTTCATTTGAAAAGTTTGATGAGATTTCCTAAATATCATTTCCGTGCTCACAAAACACCACGACAACTTCTACAAGCTCACTACCATCAAATTTGCTGTGTTGAGTGCATAAAAGGCACACCGCCGACACGCACACCATCAAACAATCGGCATTTTTGAGGGGAATTTTGTGGGAAAAGTTATTTGCCTTAAGAATTTAGTATTTAGGATTGTGTTAAAAATTTTGGTTTTCCTTAAGGCTAGGTGAAAAGGCTATGGAAAAAAGGCGGCTGTCAAGGCGCGAGAGTTCAAACAAAACCCTCACAATCAGTCTAAAGAGCTTGCAGCTGAAAAAGACAAATCCTGAATGACTCAATGTTTGCATTATGCAAAACGAATCAATTACCGCAATTCTTAGAAATTTTGCAGTTCGAACGACCATTGGCTCAGGGGCAATTTCCTCTTTTCATATCCGATTTTCAAAGTTCATCTTTTAAAAATCAAAAGCAAGTAAAACTTTCAATATTTTTTACAATTTTACCCTTTCAGCCATTTCCTCAAGCTTCATTTTGTCTTACCTTTATTTGACCGAGAACTTTTCCCGCTTGATTGCTGCTTTTGCGGCGAAGAAATCGATGTGGGCATTTCCTCTGAAAACGACGAGCAAATGTTGGAAATTTAAGTTTGACTTTCAGAAGAAATAAGTAAAATCCCGGTGATTAGGATGAAACATTTAAAAAACAAAGGACAAGTTATAAAGAAATCAAGGGTGAATGATGGGGAAAGCGGCAATTTCAGAGCCAGCGATTCGCTCTAAAATCAAATGCATAATCTCGTTTAAAGCTTTTGAGAAGCATTTGCAAAATGAAACCCAGATTCCCAAAGCTGAAAAAAAGGCAGTCAGGGTTTGGATCACTGATCAGAAAATTGGAAAACTAAAATTTCAATAAAGAAAGGCTAATTTGACGTAAACTTTCACGTTCTGGCGCACCGATTCATGGAGCAAATGGATAGGACTGAAAAATGAGGTTTTAGTGCCCCAGATGCCGAAAGTTTACGCTAATCATTAAACGATTATTGCTTGTATGTTAATAGTGATCTCATCAAGTCGAATTTCAACTACAATACTTTACTTACAAGAGCTTTGACTGTACTCGAAAGAAATTCAAAATTCTTTCAAAAAGTCTTGGTGCAAAGAAGTGAAAAGAAGTCATTCTCAACAAGTTCTCCTTTTTCTTCTTTTCATCAATCGGTTCGCTGTGGGATCTTCCCTCGGAAATTCACATGGACGCCTTCAATTTCCGGAAAAGGAAAGACTCCTCGATCTGCTTTTTATGCTTCGAAAGAACAATGGAAAATCAAATAATCAAGGAATCAAAGAAATCAGAACGATTTTGTAGCTTTGGAAGTGGAGAAGAAGTTCAACCTTATAAAATCGATAAAATAACAAACGATGAAGGAACTAATTTGTGAATACTTTAGTGAAGCTATGAGAATGTTTCTTGGAGATGATTTTCATTAAAATAATCGGCATAGAGCTGGGTAATCAAGTGGAGAAGAAAAAAGAGAGAGAGAGAGAAAGGAGGCCAATCAGAAGAATCGAAAAGAAAAAAGAAAAAGAGGGGAAATGATACCGAATCGGGAAATTCTTTTGTGGAAAGAGAAATGAATACAGAGTAGATGGATTGATGGGAAAAATCCTGAAGAAGTAGAAGGAGAAGAAGGGAGAAAAGCACAAGCAGTCAGTCGGGACTCTTGTTGAGCGGTGAGCACAATTGAATTCCCTCCAACAACAAGAAAAAGAGTAAGAGATGGGGAAAGAGGAAAAGGAGGAAAATCACTGAAATCTCTTCACATGGGACAGATTCGAGTTGGGGGATTCGATGGGGGAAAATAGGGAAATTTGATACACAACGATGACATAGATACAAAAACTTTTATTCAGTACTGCTTCAGATTGATTTGAGTCATGACTTTTATCCCAATCCCGTTGAGATACAGAAAGGTACAGGTGATTCTGTTGCAAATGCTCTTTAATTTGAAGTTAGCTGTACATCAGCTACCAAATTTGCATTTAAAAATTTACCAAAGGTGTTGGAGTTTAGATTTTGCGCCCAGCAAGGCCTCAGATATACAAATTATGGTATTTATGCATTGATTCCCCGTTGAAAGTACAAAGCTCCTTAGATTGTAAGGCTTTGAAGGCCTACAGTCTGGTCAAGTTAGTTGAGATAACTGAATCTCTAAGGCAAATTTGCATATCTCTTTGTTTTCCCTAGTTTTAAAATGCATGGTTTATCGGTATTCGACGAGTAAATTAGCCACAGCTGATTGGCCTCAATCTACTGTCTTTTGTTGCACGCTAAACAGTTGAAAGAATTCCTTTAGATTGAAATCGATATTCAAAATTCATATCCATTGCTTCATTATAGCTTACTAGATTGCCATTATGCAAGAAGTGTGAGATTTCCAGGAAAAGAAAGAGAGAAGAGAAGGAGAGGCTAGCCTCGGGACAAAATCCCCGGGGTTTCCCCCTCGATTTTTGGAAGTGCAAAAACAAATTGGTAAAGGGTTCTCGAACACGCAAACCAATCACCCACATTTCGTTTCTGAGTAAAAGGGAAAGAGAGGGAAGGGCTTGGAAATCTGAAGTAGTAAAGATATGAGGGGATGATAACAAGGGAGGATTTGATTGATATACTATTAGGTGGATTGTTTCGGGAGTACTTTGCATGTTTTTAGGTGTATGTAAGTTCGGAATGAAGCTTTGACGCAAAGTAACCATCTTTTTACAGAGTGTTGCTTTTACAGACTATTATTGCTTGCTATTTCTCTCTCTTCCCAATTGAAATGATTTTATATAAATCGACAGAAGAAGACATGACAAATCTAATGATCCAAAAACTATTTAAATCGGGCAGTGAGCGCCAAGATATTTGAGTTTAAAGTTAGATTATCAATGGAAGAAAAAACGGGCTGAAATCAAGTGTCAGATAATTTCTGAAATCCATAATTTTAACTTCTTGGATTATTCTATTTAGTCGATTTTATAGTTAAAAACAAAGATTTGCTCTAAAAGATACTTTCATCGGTTCGTTGAAATGCTATGTGATTAAGTTTAGAACGAGATTTTACTTGATACTATACAAGAAAAGTTGACGACTTTCTGAAACGATCAAATAAATGTATAAAGTCCAGTTGAAGTCATTTTTAAATATAAACTTTATGTCGTTATTTCTTGCTAATATATTGCTTGATATTTTGGGATAATAAGTTTATTAATTTACTTAATTTTAATGTACGAAATTGTTGCCTCAAAATTTAATTGCAATAATTTTGAGACGCCTTGTAGGAGGTACAACATTCCTGGAACATTTCAAGGGTCAAGCAGGCGTAAAACAGGTTCTGGTGAACTAATAAAGATCAAAGCTGCTACAGTAATCATTGTATTATTGATTGATCTAAGCTTTGTTCTTCTGCTTCAATCTCATTTTTACCTTTTCCTCACTCATTACAAGAGACAATCTTTGTGCATCTGGTAAAGAGCAACTCAAAACTCAGTTAGTTCTTCTTTTCGTTGAGAGTTTCTGTTGAGGACACAACTTGAGCGATATGGGCCATAAATATCATTTGGCGAGAGCTGCACACACAAAAAAAAGAAACCTTTTCAACCAAACTTTGAGAAAATTTGGAAGAATTTGGGAGAAAAAATAAAGAAAATTTGAACACTTTGAAAGCTTTCTTGGTCTTTGAAAAGAATTACAGATTTTAAAAGATACACTTAAAGTTCTGTTGTTTTTAGCTAGCTGACAATACAATTGTGTAACAGCTTAACTTTTAGCTTCATTTCTCAACGAGAATTTCTCGTGCAGACCACCACTTTACAGACAACATTGATGAAGAAAAGGATGTAGGCAGTCCGTATTGGTAAAGGATATGAAATATAAAGTAAAAAGATAGATCGAAATGCCAGCTAACACCATTTTTGTGACCAAAGCTCTCCACCTGATTGATGTGTTTGCGGTCGATCTGTCGAATAAATGGGTCGTTGTGGTTGCGAGTGGAACAGACCCATGTTTTTTTCAAAAGATTATCTCTTCACAAATTGATAGAAATGATTGCTGCTCACAAAACAGTTAATACCAGGTTGAATCGGGAATTTCTTCTTCTTTTCAATGAATCGCTTTGAGCTCAATAAGCACACGGGTAAATAGAGGGACGAAATGGGCAAAAAGAGGTGGATCTTTCAAAGAAAACCCAAATTATATCGATGAGACCGGGTCCAATTTTGAAATTTTTCTTGAAAAGAGCAAGGAGAGTGACAAAATATTTGCCCCTCCCCTTCTTTTCGCTTCGCTTTCCCCCGATCTCCATCTGTTTCCTCTTTTTTCCACTTTGCTCCTTTGAAAACGATTGATTCATACAATCAAAAGACAAAAACTTTTAAATTATAGAAAATTGAGAATTAAAGAATTGAGAAACACACCAGACAACAGCAGAACTTAAAAACGAACACATGCACATGCAACTCTTGTTTCAAAAGCAAATGGATCATTTTATTGTGAAAAGTTCTGGTTTAGTCTGGCAATGAGAATATAATTTGCTTTTGAAATCTTTCTTTCACACAAAAATAAACAAACCGGCGTTTTTGAGATGTCGTGCCTGAGCGAGGATTCGACCGCTCGGTTTAGTGTTGATCCAAATGTGAGTGATTTGATCACCTTTGCATTTTGAGACAATATCCTGAAATTGGAAAGATAATGAGATAATAGGAGATGGATAGTGCGATATATTCTAGATTAAATGGTAAAGAAAGTGATTTATAGCTGGGTATATGAGTATATTGATTATCAATCGATTTTGTGGGTAGGGATATCCTATCTCCTCAGTATTTGTCAGCAGAGTTCTTCCAAAGACAATTTTTTTGGGCCAGGTTGTCCTAGTCTGGTCCTACTTGGGGCATGACCTGGTCTAGCTTTGCTGCAACTTGTGAGACATTGGTGTTGAGCTGTCCAATTTAAATAGTTTTTGTACCAATCGACAGAGAAAGACTTGGGGCATCTAATGATGCCAAAAATATTTAAATTGAACAGCCCAACACCAAGAAATTTCAGATCAAAGTTGGATTGCCAATGGCAAAAGGGGTGGGGAGCGGCTGATCTGGCTTATGGCCTAATCGAGCCTGTTTTGTAAGCTCTACTGAGCTGAAAGACCATTGTATACCCTTAGCCCGACAAGCTCATTTCATGCAATTTGCTGAGTGAATCTAACAAGTATCGAATATTGGATAGGACATTGATTGGCTAAAAACGAGAAGCTAATATAAAATCGATAAATGGAGGTTTTCAAAAATGAGGAATCATTTTTGAATGTGAGGACGTCAGTTTAGAAGGTGAACACGTTTGAAAAGAGAGGTGGGACTTTGAGGAAAAAGGGGATAAAGTGAGGGGACTCTTGTAAAGAAAAAAGAGGAGAGGGACCCTTCCCCCCCTTCCGATTTGATAATGCTAAGTTGAGGCTCCTCTCTTCTGAATCTTTTTTTGGAAAAAGGGATGAAGGGGTACTGATGGGTCTCTTTTAGAGAAAAGGAAAAAGAAAGAAAGAGAGGTAGATCCTATCATCCCCTTCTACACAGATCCCCATCGAAGTGGGTGGGCGGGTTACTTTTTTTCAAGAGAACACTCCCCGTTTTCTCCGAAATCTCATAAAGGACGACTTCTCGATTTATCCCATTTACCCTTCTTCACTTCTTTTTCATGTACGTAGAATCAATTCTGAGTTTTGAGACTCAACGAAAAGATCACCAAGCTATCATAGTACTTTAACGAAGAAGAATAAGTTCGAGATTTTCGGCTACAAGCTTTACACCAAAACAGTCACTTTACAGTAACTAATGTTATTCAGAAGATACTTAAAGTTTAAGATTTAAGACTATAGCATAGAATAAAAAAGAAAGAGATAAGTTTAATCCTGAGTGGCACAGGGTGAGATTACCCTTAAGCTCAGGTTCTGTACCGTAACGAGTTGAGTTTTTAAGCTGAGCTCACTAGTCAGTTTCATCAATTTTCCCAGTTTTTTCATTTACCATTCAAACTAACAAAACTAGACTTGATTAGCGTCAAAAATTAATGTAAAATAAAATGAATTGCGTTAAAAACTAGAAAATGGATTACGTTACAACTGGTTTGGTATTCATCTATCTATGTTACTTGATCGACCAACAAGTCTGCCATCTTTTATTGCTTAAGAATTCGAGGATTTCTATTAGAGAGAGAGCACGAATATGAATATTCAACTAGAAGAAGTCAAAGATGGGCGACTACGTAGTGAGGGGAGTTTTCTCTCTTATAATTATCCCCTTTTTGCGTGTTATTTGGGCTTTCCAAGATGGTGAAAGTGGGAATTTTTGAGGAAAAATGAAAGTTTTTTCGAAAATATGCAAAACCATCGAAATATCGAACCTCGAGTCTCATCGTGGCATCAACAACGGGAGTCTGATTGTGCATGAGAACGACTTGAATGATGCGCCCCGGAGTGACGGCCGTGTCCCAACATCTAGAATCAAAGTTGACACTTCTGTAGATAGCTTTCAAGTATACAGTCATGCACAAAAGTCTTGTAACATCCAGTTTCGCAAATTTCAAAGTGTAATAACTTTTTTGCAAAGAGGCGAATTCCCAAACAGTTTTTGGTTTTCAGTTGGCAAAAACTTCTATTTTTATATGCAAGAAAAACTTTAGTGAAACGATTAACAAAAATTAAGAAAAACAAAAAAAAAAAAAAACGGGCGTATTTTTGATGCCCCAAAAGCTCTTGTAACATTTTCAGTATTTTGCTTTTTTGTTTTGTTTTTTTTTTTATTTTCTTTTTTATAACAAAAAATTATTTTTTTAGATGCCTGCGACAATATTTGTCAACTCAGGAAAAAGAAAAAATTGTGGAAGCGCGAGAGAAAGGACTTCAAAGGAAAGATGTGGCAGCTCTCTTCAAAATGCAGTGAAAAAACGGTATCTGTAATTGTCGGGACGGTCGTTCAAAACGACTGGATCTGTTCACCGAGCTTCAAAATCAGGCCGTCCACCAATTACAACACCCAGGGAGGATCAAGCGCTCGTCAAAGCTCACAAAAATAACAAGGATCTCAATGCGAGCGATGGAGTCGTCATGGTGAAGAGTCAATTCGGGAAGGGTGTATCACGAATGACAGTGAGCCGACGCTTGATTCGTGGTGGGTTGGTCACAAGAAGAGCAGCCAAGAAGGCCCTTGATGAATGCCAAGCATCGGAAGATTCGTTTTGAGAGTTTTGCAAAGAAGTGTGCTTCCTGGACGACAAATGATTGGGCAAATGTGATTTTTACTGATGAGTCAAAGGTCAATCTTTTTTGCCCGGATGGCAACCACTTGATCAGAAGACCAATAGGAAAGCGGTACAACATCAGATATGTGCGACCAACCGTGAAATTTGGCCAAGGATCAATCATGGTTTGGGGTAAGGGCTACTTTCATGGTGCCCCCTCTTAACTCTGTCTTTTCCAGGTGCAATGTCGAGAAATTCACCAGGTCCGCTAGTGCTACTAAACTCAACGCTCAACGCTGAAGGCTACAAATCAGTTCTCCAGAATCATCTTCTGCCATTTTCAATTGCAAAAATGAGTCCTGGATGGCTGCTTTATCAGGATAATGCGCCTTGCCACAAGAGTCAATTGCTAATGGGCCGGGTCGTCACTCTCGCAAATGGTGGAAAAGCTCGTCTTCCAGGATGGTTCAAAGCAAATCGTGTTCAACTTATCTCAGCCCCTCCTCCATACAGCCCAGATTTGAACGTCATTGAGCATCTTTGGGCTTTTTTGAAGTCAAAGCTGAAGGGAAAGCGATTCAACTCGAAGATAGAGCTTTGGTTCTTCATTCGCCGTACCTGGTCATCCCTGGGAGCCCAAATTCTACGCGATTTAGTTGATTCAATGCCAAAGCGAATCCAGGAAGTCATCAAAGCTAAAGGTGGACCAACGAAGTATTAAAAATTTGGTAATTTCTATGTTTTTTTTTCAAATGTTACAAGACTTTTGAGCATCAAAAATACGCCCGTTTTTTGTTTTTATTTGTTTTTCTTAATTTTTGTTAATCGTTTCACTAAAGTTTTTCTTGCATATAAAAATAGAAGTTTTTGCCAACTGAAAACCAAAAACTGTTTGGGAATTCGCCTCTTTGCAAAAAAGTTATTACACTTTGAAATTTGCTAAACTGGATGTTACAAGACTTTTGTGCATGACTGTATTTTATGCTCTGGTATCTAAGTTAAACAATGGTTTGACTCAGTTTACTTTCCTTTTTGAAGGTTGAAATTTTGAAAGTTGCCTGTTTGAGTTTTGAATGACACAATGTCTGATCCTGAAGTAAAAAACTACTAGTACTAAAACTCGGCACATTGTATTTATGTGGACCAGTATTAGAAAGGTTTTTAAGTTTTTTAAATGAATAAAAGCTTGTGATCTGTTGTGACCACGTTTTCTCTGTAATCAAAACCCATGCGTGTAACTAATTTTCTCTAAAAAATCGGTCTTTTTTGCCGTTGGCAATTTAAGGTTTTTCGTGTTTTTCTCAGCACTAACCCATTGATTTTGACTATTTTAACTATCATTCGATGCAGAATAAAATCGCGCGTCAAATGATACCAAAATGAACTCAGAATGTAATATCCACGCAAAGCTATGAGGCAAAATGTTAAATCCCGCCCAAAACGGGCGCGGTCTAGATTTTTAGCCAACAACTTGATCAAATCAAAACAATTGCCATTGATCAACCAGTATTGATCCTAGTCTATCGTAAAAATTATTATTTTGGCATAGTGAACTAGTTCTATTTGGTGGTTCTATCTTTCAAAACGAACCTTTCCCATTCTGGATAGATCGTCTTCTTCTTTTGCACTAATCGATACTCACCTAAAGCCGCTAAATTAAAAAGATTATACCAACTGCTCTAGTCATTTTGAATCTTTTTGATATTCTAATAGTTTTATAAAAATTACATTCAAAATAACCAGTTTCTTTTATAAAGGTTACGAAAGAAAATAAAATTTAACAGCATGCTTTAAGTAAAAAGATGAACTGAAGATAGGAGAGATTATTTGAATAACGATGTGATCAGTATGAATATAGACATAGGGAAAACGGCAAACAGAAGAAATTGAAATGATAACTTTATAATGGAAAAAAAAGACTTGCCATTTATTTCGATCTTTTCTTTTACATTCACCGCTGCGACGAGATCTGTCGGAGAACAACCAGGAGGGAGAACCTCATTTCCAACCTGAAAAAACAGTCAGCTTTCATCTTGATAATTGTTTATTCTTTTATAATGCACTTTCTTTTTTCTCAAACCTGCCAATTTTCAAAAGTATCGTAATCTTTGTCTCTAGTCTATCCATAATATTTTTGGTTTCTTCGTGAACATACTTACACCATTATCAACAAATTAGCCTTAAAGCTATCCAAATAACAGTTAGATTGGATTACGATAGATTACGTAAAAACTAGACAATATTACGATACTTTACAAAACACTTTATCATGTTTTAGAAAACGCATTGCTGAAGAGGAACACATTCTGCACTGGACACTGAGGCACTTTACAAAAGAAATTGCCAAAACAAAAAGAATACAAAAGAAATACAAAAAGAAAGACTTTTGCCAACTATGAGAAGTTAATTTTCAAGTTATTCTAACCTTTTTTCTTTAACCAACCTCAGCCCTTAACAGTTTCAATCTGCACGCACTCTCAGCTCGACTCATTCTCCAATCTGGGTCGACGGCCAATTCGCAGTGACCCTCCTCCACGGAATCCACCTCTGCCACCTAGAAACATTAGATTATATTAAGAAAGATATTTTTTAAATGAAAATTATTCTTACAACTTCAAATAAGACTAGTATAGAACAAGGAATTGGATTTTCTCCCAATTGAGAGATTGTAAAGATTGAGACAGGTGCTTTACTCAAGAGAATCCCTCTTTTGAAAGTAATAGTCTTATTTGGCTCAACGTAATGAGGCTAATATATGCAAATAACTTTGAAAAGAACAAACTTTAGGCCTTAAACAAAACGAACAAGGAATGGCGAAGAAAAATCTTCCAGTCTTGAAACAAAACGATCCCAAGGGGAGAAGAGGGTTTGGTAAAAGGGGAGTAGTTGATGAAAAGCCTTAAATTCCTTCCGTGTACCTAGTATGGATGACTGGGTTCAAAATCGATCAAAAATTTGTGTTTTAGTTGAAGGTTTTTACATTCAAATTTTGAATTGAAATTGAAAGATTGAAATCTCATGGTCATTTAGCGTTCCTCTTGAGTAATGTGTTTTCTAAACGTGCGTAAGTTGAAAAACTATCATGAAACTTTCCTTTAGATTCCGATTTACTTGATTATAATTTTCATTTGATGACAAATCAAACTGTGAATCAAATGGGATCAAAATTAAATAAAATTGCAAAAGTTTTACGGTAGTTTTCCAATAGACCCACCTTTTAGAATTGACCAAGAGACAAAGGCCTAAGCTCAGTCACAAAAAAAAAAATCAAAATTTCTGGCTCAAAAACTTGAATTTTTTATTTTCTAAATGAGAACGATTGTTTATCTATTTTCAAAGAAATCGCTGGAAAACATCAACTTTTTCAGATCAATGATATTTCGAGAGTAAAAGAAGGTCTTTGTGATTGTTGTTTTTTCCAAAAATGGATTAAGTGTACATCTTCGAAATCTCGATTTTCGGCAATAAAATTTTCTCTCGAGTGCAAGAAAAAAAAGAAAAAGGGTTCCGAGACACTAATTGGCAAATTTTGGAGAAAAAGAACTGAATGGATGGACATTGGAAAGGATTTTGAGAGGATTTTTTGCGGAGAATAAGGAATCTTTTAGAAAAGTGTTTAGGAAAAGAAAAATGAAAAGAAAAAAAGGAATTTTTTGACCCCAAAAATGTCGGGTGCAATTTTTCGTGATGAGTGAACAGTGAGTGAATGAACACACAAATGTTTGTCTCGCATTTGGCGCTAACTGAACATTCGAAACACTTTTAGAACAACAGGAATTGGGAAAAGCCAAAAGTCAAAGCAGTTTTTTTAGAATTTTCTAATAAAGAGCAAACTTTTTGATATGAAATCAATGAGCAATACAAAAAAATGCAATTTTCTGAAAAAATTACTCCATTTTGTGATATCATTTGAGAAATAAAAGAAGAAAAAGACACTAAGTTTAGAGGGAAATCATGATTTGAAAGAAAGAACAGTGCAAACTTTGAAAATACTGCTAAACACTGAGAAAATTCTAAAAAATCTATTAAAAAGTGTTAAGTGATGATCCAGCTAAATATTTCTTAGTCAACTGTGTACAATATATGTAAATGTATCAAATTTTATATTAGATGCAAAACTTTCAAACGTTTAAGGGTGGTAAGGTAGTTTTTTGATTGGAGGGACTGACTTTCGGGAAAAAGAATTGCGTCACGGTAAAAGAAAAGAACTTTTAACAGATTCGGGTTGAATATTTGGATAACTTTAGCATAAGAAACTTGTCAAAAAAGGTAGTCTTTGACCGTGAATGTCTCAAAACTTGGAAGCGAGAGCTCCCCGTTTTCCCTCCTCTTGTGGGTCGATCCAATTAGGTCTTTCTCAGTCTTTTCTCTCAGTCAGCTGCTCTCCTTTAGATCTCCATTTCCTCCCTTTATCTCTTTTCTTCGATTTCTATGAAGAACTCCCCTTGATTTGTTCCTTTGATTACCCTCACTCACTCTCAAATGTTTTCCCCTGTGTAATATTCTGATTTTACGAGTCTTGATTTAGTACCTTACATCGACGCAATCGAATGTCACTTTTTCTTGGTTTCAGTGGGGTTTTTGGAACTAAAAAAAAGATCTTTTCCTTTCCAAATTTTCTCTAAAAATCACAAAATGACAAATTTCCTATAAGATTTCAACTCTAAGTTTTACGGCATGTTAGAATGTAGCCACATTACTCGAAGCTCAAGAAAGAATGCATCATTTGAAAGTTGACAATTCCAAAAATGCAAATTTTGGCCAAAGGTGCTTTTCTAATGGGTAATTCAGTAGTTACTATAATGAAATAATGAAATTATAATAAAATCTATAAGATTGAAGCTCTTCAAAAGACAATTAAATACAAATCTTAAGTTGAGCAATAATATTTTGAGTTCAATGATCTAAACCAAAGCAATAGGTTGAGAATTCTGTGTATGTTGTGTGTAGAAAGACTCCGGAGAGTGAGAACAGCGAGAAGTCATGTAAACAGAAGGGGAAGGACTTTCAACTACAAGAAAAGGGTTAGAGAGGAGAGGATCCCTTCAAGCATGCATCTTCCAGAAAACATGAAGAATTTTCAGTGCTGTCCAACGGATTGCAATTTCTCTTTTCTTTTTCCATTTTTTCTCAATTTCTTTCAAAACGGATACTCGAGTTGTTGTATTTACTCAAAAGATGATAAGTTCCCCAGCAAACACCATTTTCTCAAGAAAAAAGAAATCGATCAGAGAAAACGTCAAATTGAATAGAGAGATCAATTCGACACGGAGACTTATTGTTTCTTATATTTTGCACAGAAAGCTCAGAGAATTCTGAAACGATTCAATGGATAGATCATTTGAGTGGGTGGCTTGGGTCAAAAGGGGAGTCCACGTCAAAAACTTCCATATTTGCCGCCATTAGACTTGCCTTTTTATGTTTGTTTTTTATTCTAAAATAAAAACTTTTTGGAATCGAAAAAGGGCAAGGATTATGCACGAGAGAATTGTTGCTTACTTTGTTATCAAAGATAAGACAAGGCTTGAAAGTTACAAGACGTCAAATAGTAAAAGTATTTTTGGGAACAAAGTGTAAACTCGTAGGTTGCTGAAAAAGCTTGAATAGAGCACGCGGTTTCTAGAAAAAAACTAAATCTTGAAGTTTTCTCGCTGACTCTATGAGTTGATAGTTGTTAACTTAGGCTCAAAATCTTATTTGCACTTTAAATTTATCGAATTTTTGTCTTACTTCAAGTTAGATCAAAGTAGTGATGAAAGTAAAGCATTAACAAAAACAAAGATCAAATTTATGGGAAAACTTTTCGAGATTTCGTGATATGACTTTAGAAACTTGATACAAAGACTCTTTGGGAATTATTGCCTTTTAAAACTGGCTAACTTTTATAACAATTCTTACAGTGAAAAGTGAAAAAAAGCTCAAAAAAAGGTAGTGCTATTCTGGAATGAAATAGTCAAATAATATCTTTGTTTAGTGGAAAATGAATGGTCCTTTCCCAGTCAGTCACCCCCACCGCCACATATATCGATGGGACGAAAGGGTAAAGAGAAACGCGCGTGTAATCGAATAGTGTGGGAAAATCCCTTCAAACCACTATTCACAAATGAAATCGTTTTCAAGAGAAAAAGAAAGAGACAAAAAAAATGAAGCAAGGAGATCCGTAAATGAATTTTTTTTCTTCTTTCTCCATCACCAAAAAGGTTTTATTTTTGCAATTTGAGCGCGGCTTTTTGCCTCAAAGAAAATCGCCTTTTTTGTGAATGAAAGAGACCACTATATTTTCTTTTTCATTTCTTTCGTTTGCTTTTTTCTTTTATCGACTCATTGACGCCATTTTAGATGTCAAAAGATACGATTTATTAAGCAATTTTTGTATCAAAAGGCGTTCGTTTTAGTGAATGAGTAAAAATCAAAACAAAGACTACAAAAATTGAGTAAATCTGCCCGCCAAAACTCGAGATACTGTAGCTTTTACTGTAGATAACTGTAGATAACTGTAGATACGGTAGCTTTTATTTCAGAGATTCGCATTTATCGATCAATATTAACATTTATATAATGAATATGGGGAAAAGTTTGCATTGAAAAATAGCACAGCATAAGATTTTCATCAAAAGTTAAATGCTAATTGTGCCCAGCATTTCCTAGGCTTATTGCCTGTTAAATGCAAATTTTTTCAGAGATGACAAAAGAACTATAAAAATCAGATTATTTTAGGAGAAAAAATTTCTGTTTAATTAAAAGTTACAATTTTTAGCTAGCAAGAAAAGGGATATTCAATGGAGAGTAGCGTCAAAAAAGCAAGCTTCAATCATGCAAAAGTTAAAGAAACCAAAAGAAATGGAAGCAGAATGGGGAAAGGAAAATAAAAGAAGAAAAAAAAGTGCTAAAAGTTCTTTTCTTTTCGTTTTTCCGGTGGCTGGGGCAAAATGGCTTCAAGAAGGAGTCAAAAAAAGAAGAAAAGACTAAGAAAAGAAGAGACTTTGAATGGAAATTGCGCCTTTGAAAAGAAAAAAGAAACGGGGAAGAAGGTTTTTAGAGCAAAGAAGTGAATGTGGATAAGGGAGAAAACAGATGGAAATGATATAAGAGAAGAAAACGAGTAAATACTCACGATAAAAATGGGAGCCTGGGTGAGATAAGTGACTCATTCAGCGGAGAAAGGCAACAAGCTGATATATTACCCAAAAAAATTCCCGTCATGTGGAATTTTTTGTTTTTTTTCATTTTATTTTTGGCTTCTTTACGTCGATTTTTTTGTAAAGTTCTACAAAATTTTCATATTTAAAAATTGAATTTTAATTGATTTTCAATCAAAATTACATCCAATTTTATGAGTTTTCTAAAAATGGAACACATTTTAAAATAGAGAATTCACGGCAAAGACTTTTTTTGTTTGCATTTCGGATTTTTGATCTTCAACAAACGGAAATTGATGCCATTTTTTTTGCTCAAATGGTCAAATGAAACAAGACGGACAGAAGAAAGAGTGGATGAGTCGATCTCCTGAGTAAAGGGGACCCAATTTCCTCTCTCCGATCGAATCCCATCGACAACATGTGAAACAGGGAAACATGCAAAAAGAAGAAAGAAATATGAGAAATCTTTTGTCTTTTTCAGGGACGTTCCAACCGGTCATTTGGGTTATCAGGTCTTTGCAGGTAACCTAGAAGTCAGTTTGAGTCAGGTAAGGGTAAGGAGTCAGCTCAGAAGAAAGATCAAAACCTGGCTTGGCTCATACAAAAGTCCCTGGGTAAGCAGAAAACAGGTTCTGACATGGTCTGCCATTTTCTAGGGTTTGTAACTCAGGGCAAATCAGTTATGGCCTAATCCAGACCTCCAGTAAAACCAGGCTAGGCCTACAGCAAAGACAGGATCTGCTCTAGACCTGAAAATTCTTCAGAACAAGAACTTTTTACGACTTATCCCTTCTCATCTCCGTTTTTTGATCCACGAAATTCGCCTCTCAAAGAAAATGGGATAATCCAAGACCGAATACGGGGAATTAGTTTTGGAATTAATTTTTGCTGATAATTAACTCATTTTCACTTCCTTTTCACACTTCAGAACAAAAAGCGTTTTTATTTGTCCTCAGCTTTTACTTAAAATCAGCATTTTTCGAATTTTACCGACCGCACCCCAAAAAGAGACAACGAAATGAAGAAGCCAGATGAGCGACTTCCGCTCCTTTTTTTCTTATCTGTTTTTAAAGCTGAAAAATTACGGATGATTTAGCATTTTTGAATTAGAGTTGGGAAAAAAAGCACAAATAATGTTTTTGAAATGAAGAGCAATCGTTTGCACGGTGGAGAGTTGATTAAGTTACGCACAAAGCATGAATCAGTAAAGCTTTTCCAAAAAAATCGTTTGAAGGCCAAACTAGAGAGGTGGATATTTATGTAGCTTTGGTAAAATGCTGTGTTGGACTTATTAGGTTAAAATTAGCATTCATTTGAGGCGGAACTTTTCAAAAGTTCATCAAAAACATGGAAAATTCTAATGACGAACAATAGCCTAAAAGATCGATTGACATCTTAGCTGGTTGAATGGCTAATGGTACCAAATATCGATGGGATATCCTGAGATCATTTTGAAGAGAAAATGGAACATGGAGATGTTGATAAAAGAAAGAAAATGGGAAATTGAATGATACAAAATTCTCTCTCATTACCCACTCTCCACCAAATCGAAGCCAAAAGTTCAAGGTGAAAAAGAAGGAAAAAAACACCCGAAAACTAGAGTTTTTCTTAGCTATATCATTGTAATGATTCTATTGAGCAGCGCTTTTTTCAAGTTCTAAAAGTTTTTGAAGAAAAAAAGACGAAATTCGTGTGTAAGTCAAAGAATCAAAATAAGATACATCAGAAAGCTTAATTTGAAAATTTTTATAAAAAAACTGACATTATTGGGTTAAACATTGAAATCAGACAAAAACTGTTTGCATTTAATTTTAAGAAAAAAAAGAAAAATTCTCCGTTTTCTTAAAAAAAATCCGAAATAAATTAGTTATTTGTACGCTAATAATGTATTGTGAAATCGAAATGGGAAATTCCAAAAGAAAGAAAATAAAGAAAGAAGTGAAGAGAAGTATTTGAAGAAAAATTCCACACTGTGCCAAAACGAGAGAATTTAGGGAAAGGGCGGTACAGGAAAAGAGAAGAGAAGAGAGAGAAGGGGACTGTCGATCGGAAAAGGGAGGGGAAAGGGAACCCACCCCAATAAATTTGATCAATCGATGCCCAGCCTTTTCCTCTCCTTTTCATCGCACTTCTCGTGTATCTGAGAGACACACACTCGCTCACTCACTCACTTTGTTCTGCATGTGTGTATTTCGATCAGCTTTTTGCATCGTATTTATATCAAAATCTCTGTTCCCCTGTGCCAGGCTTTGTTGAGATTTTGGAAAACTCTATGAAGAGTTAACAGGCTACAGAGTGGCAGATTAGTGTCATTGTGCCTAAATCCTGTTAGAATAAATTAATTTGACATAATCTTTTGGGATAATCTTTTAAGCTAGTGTCAGGTTGTTTGTCAGCTAGGTTGTCAGCTAGTTGTGAATAGTCATGTGCCATCGGGTCGTCAAATGCATTTTAGTAAAAGGCTTTTATTTTCTAAAGCGTGAAATCCCATTGTATCCACGTTTTAGAAAACAAAAATCGTTTGCTAAAATGCATTTGACAACCCGATGGCACATGACCATTCACAACTAGCTGACAACCTAGCTGACAAACAATCTGACACTATGTCTAGTTGTGAGTGTGCAATACTCTGACATTAGCTAGAGGATATAAGGGATTTACTATGTTTGGACTAGATCTTGCGTGGAAAATATAGAAGTTTAGACTACAAAGCTAGCCTCGAGAACAATTTAATGATGAGACCAACTGGATTGTGTAAACTCAATATGAGGCCAATCAACTGGATTGTAGGGAGGCTGGGTTTTGTATAGCTTAGGCGCTGGTCTATTATTTTATTCATTCATGTGTTATGTAAATATTTCTCGTTTTGAATGTTTATTATTGTGAATGTTTCGCGAGCGGGTGTCTCTTTGAGTGGTTTCATTGAAGGACATTGAAGGACAAGGAAAAGAGAGGGAAAAGAGAGATCATTGTGTGTAGATGAGAGATGAGAGCCCCCTCTCTCGAACTTTCCATAAATAAAAATAAGCCTGTGAAAAATAACAGTTTTTGACACTTTTTATAAATGCAAAATTTACAACGGGGGTGGCTACTTTGCGCCAAATTTTTTACGCAACTCGCCATAACTTTCTTCTAAGTGGACTAATCTTTAAGATTTTGCTATCATTTTGTTGCATTTGTTGAGATCTATAACTGAAAATATGCTTACTTTGTGGAGATTTAATCCGTTAAACTACTCGTAATACCTGTTTACTGTTTAATATTTGTTTTGCAAAGTAATACGTTTGATACCTTCTTTAATTCTGGAAACAAAATGATTAAGGAACTGTTCAAGAAAAAGACATGAATAAGAAAGAGACAAAGAAAGAATAGAGTTGGAAATGTTTTCAAATTTTCAATTATTTGCAAGCAAAATTGATTCTCGAATGAAAATACTTACATCATGTGGTAGGAGCCCCTTGAAGCCTTTGACGCCGAAAACGCGCAACGATAGCGCCAACGAGCGAAATTTCATCTTCGCGAAATTTGTTGAAGAATATTAGACAGTTTTCCACCAAAAATACCGCTTTTTTTCGAGTCGATCAATCTCGAAACATTTCTGAAATTTGATCAAATAAAATTGAGGGATCTGGAAGTTTGCCAACAGAGATAAGAGAGAGCAGTCCCAATTTTCCTAAAATGCTTTCAAAAAAGCAAAAAAGGCAAAAGACAAAAAGTAAACAGCATAAAACTTGGAGAATGAGTGACTTAGCGTAATGAGTGAATGAGGAGAAAAGAAGAGTACACATTTTTCAATCGTTTTTCATAAGTGTTCTCAACATTTTTGGAAGAAATCTTTGAAAGAAATGTTGAAAAATTTCATCAAATTTGGAAAAAACTGTGATATCTAACAGTGAATTTACATCCATTTACAAAATTCGAATACACTTTTAAATCGACAATGTAAACTCGTTATAAAATACCACAGACAAACCTTTTTGACTCGATCTTCACATACAGATGGACTAAATAAAAAGAATACCTTTAAAAGTCGTTATACACTCTTAGTAACTCAAATCGAAAAGGTTTTGGTCTTAGGCCGTTTCTGAAATATTTTTGACTCTGAATAACCAAATTTGAACTTATCTTTTATGTAAGACCATTTTTGCTATCAGAAATGTTTCTAAACCTAATTTTTTTAGAACTTTGTTTTAACCCCAATTTTCACATGTGAAATAGCAAACTTTTATTTTGATCTGTAAAAATTGTGATTTTTTAGCTAACAAGCGCAGACATTATTTTTCTAACAGAAAAAAGTTTCAATATTTTCCTTAATTCTTAAAATTTTATTTCACATTCGTATATTGAGAACGAATCGCGTTTGTGCTAGAAGAGCAGCGGTCTTAGAGGACTTGGCCGAGCTTATTTAAACTCCCAAAATTTATAGAAACGGCCTAGGACCAAAACCTTTTGATTTTGATTTACTAAGAGTGTATAATTAATGATTTTTAAAGGTATTTTTTATTTAGTCCATCTGCATGTGAAAATCGAGTCAAAAAGGTTTGTCCGGGTTATTTCTGGTCATCCTGTAATTTCAGAACGTTCGCAAAAGAAATTATGCTAGTAAGAGTGTTGATTTAGGCCATATTGACAAAAGCTTTAAAAATTACATAGTAAGAATTGAATTTGCGATCGGGTACAATTTTTAGCCATTAAAAGACAACGGTTTTGCTTGACCTACCTTTTCAACAGCCCTGCTTGTAGAATTTTTGCGTAAATCCCTGTTACTTACTTTACAAAAAAAGGCACTATTAAAAAGCTCAAAAAACAGAATATCTATAAGGTCTCCTCTTCTTTTGACTAAAAGGAAGCCTCAGATCTCTTCCCCTTTTTTTTCTTCTCCTCAAATTACATCCGATTTGACGGCAGAAAAGAAAGGCCAAATTTTGTGCCTTTTTCTCACTCACCTCTTCTTTTCACCATCCACAAATGGGAGAAATCACAACGCTAATTTGGGCCCATTCTATTTAGAAAAAAAGGAAATCTGAAGAAGAAAATATTGTGCTATTGAAAAGGCCAAAAAAAACTATTTTAAACCAAACAATTGTCATTCTTTTGTTTTAAAAAGCCCTAATCAATAGACCGGTTCGTTTTCTAAGGCAGCGAAAAGCAAGTATACTGTAGAGTGTGATGGAAAGACAGTAAACCAAAGTTTATCAAGCAAAATGTTTGATTCTATAAAAGCGATTCCCAATCAGTTTTTCGTCATGGATTAGATTCGACAATCAGCAACGCTTTCATGAAACAGGACTCATCCGTTATACCCGGTAACTGTTCTTTTGCACACATAGTATTCTTTCAAAACAGACATTGATAAAACATAAAACCGATAATAAAGTCTACGTAAAATTAAGGCGTAATTTTATAGGCCCGAAGGCTTGTTGGGACCCTGAAGTAGCGGGGTATAACTGATAAGCACCATCAACAAATACAGTGTCAGACAAAATTATAGGACCAAGGGTTTTTAGAGGAAAAATCACCGGTTCATTCTTGAAATTAAGCAAAAGCCCAAAGTTAAGTTATTAGTTTTTCATAGATCTAAAGTAGTATCATTTAAAGGAAACAAAGAGCACGGACTTATTCACACAAATTTTTTTCTGAATAAACTTTGCCAGACAAAATTATAGGACCTTTACATTGGAGATTTGGAAATTAAACTCATATTTTCCTACATTTCTCTCAACTTTTTTTGTCTTTAGGTCTGTAATTATTCAAGAAGGAAGCTTTTGTAAATCGTAGAAATAATCTTTGAAGTTTTTTACAACTGAAAAACTTGGTTTCAGTAGCATATCTTCTGTCGAACTACTTTTACATTCCAGTCTTTATAAATTTCCAATGTAAAGATCCTATAATTTTGTCCGGCACTGTAGATAAACAAACCATCTTTAGATTTAAACAAATCATGATCCTGATTTAAAACGTTAAAATCATGAGTTGTACAAAAATTTGCAAAACGAGGCAAATTGATCAAGTTGTGCAAACAAAACTCCAATTTTTTGATGGTTTCATTCTGGAAAAAAAGCGATTCCCAGAACCCATATATGTAAAATGATTTTCGGGTTGTCCAAAAGGGATTATCGGGAAAAAGAGGGGAAAAGAGGGGGCGGATTTACTCTCCCTCCACTCAATACCAATAATTTCTATCAAACAAAAAACAACCACGGGAAATGAGAGAGGAGAAAAAGCTGAAACTAACAGTACATCGATCGATTTATTTTATGCTATGAAAAAAGTAATAAAAGTAAACAAAAAGAATTCATTCGAAAAAGATATGAAGGATTTGAGGGAAAGCTCTTGAGGGATTGCAGACAGATTAAGAATCTTTGATGTCATTTTAAAAACGATGTACTTTGGGGACCAATGAACGATCGTCTTCAAGTAATTAGTATTAGTTCTTTTCGCGATTTTTCAAAATCACTAAACTGAACCACCAGATATCAAAACCCTCTTTTATGACTTTTTACTAATAAATAGTTATGCAATAATCAGCTTTTGAAGCTCAGCTTTAAAGCTGAAGCAAAGTCATCTAAAGTAGAAGAATTTATTTCAAGGAAAGTCAATTTTTGTGAATATTTTCAATCAAAAACAGATTCCAAAAGAAATAAAAGACATTTAGACTTGAAATTGTTTGCAAAATACAGTAAGCATAATCATAAAAGTTCACTTGAAATTTTGAAGAAATACATGGTGTTCTGATAAATTCCGAGTCAAAAGACCGTGAACCCGGAAAACATCGAATTTGACTCGGTACTGAAGCTCAATCATTTCTTCCATCAAAACTTCCCAAAATCAAAAGTCGTGCCGCTGTTTTTAAGATATTGATCTTTAATTTTAACCATACAAAAGTTTTGTAGCTGCTTAAAACGTGCCAATTTTCAAAAGTATCGTAATCTTTGTCTCTAATTTATCCAGTCTATCTATAATATTTTTGGTTTCTTTGTGAACATACTCACTGCCGTCTAGACATGGGAAAATTCCAAGCCGAACCTAATTCCAACTTCGTTTTCTCGACCGTTTCTTGGCCGATTGCTCTGAAATTTTTTTTTACAGATAAAAATCGACGTTTTCAGCTTATAGACAAAATTTCAGAGCAATTAGCCAAGAAATGGTCCAGAAAACGAAGTTGGAATTAGTTTCGGTTTGAAATTTTCCCATGTCTACTATACCCCGCTACCAAAATGAAGGTTACAGGGGTCTTCCCCCCCCCCCCCCCGTTTTCCAAAATCAAAAGTTACAACTGAATCACTTGAATGCAACATTATATATAAAATATAATGATTTAAATTGAAAACAGGGAGGAACGCCCGTACCCCCATTTTGTTGGTGGAGATAACTATAAACGAAAAAGTACCAAAATTTGCATACAAAGAGAGTAAAATTCAGTTTTATGGGAGTAAAACCCAGTATAATGGAAGGCAAACTTATAAATGAAAATTTTTACTTATGCAAAGTACGGGAGGATAAAGGCCATATTGATTGGGGGTATCACCCATAACAACCCATTATATTTTAAAGTTTAAATCTAGGCAAGGTTTAAGGCTGTAAAGTACAGTAAGGTAGGCTTATTGGTAGCATTATAGCCTGGGCAATCTGATAGCTAACCTCCCGCTTGTGAAGGGTACTGCAATGATGTGTTCTTTAAGAAACAAGGTACAATTCCATTATATTGCACACATTGGCTATGATTAGCTTTGTTTCCGGTTCTAAACTTAAAAGCAAATTAAAACTGAAAAGCCATGGTAAAGCCATATTTAGCCACAATGCATACAATGTATAAAGCTACTAAATAAACCAGCTGAACAGTTATGTTTGACCTGAATCGCTTATACATCCTAATTTGTGGATATATAAGAGGATAGCACCGGAAACATAATCAAAGCTGGACACAAAAGCGAAACGGAAAATTTAGGAAAATGGACTTCCCACCTAAATTTAGATTTGAAGAAGATGGATTTGGATACAGATTTGGATACAAATTTGGAGAAGACAAAGAAAAATCAAAGTGTTTTGTCAAACCTATGTATATATCAACTTGTTTTCCCAAGAACCAGCTGGATTTTCTCTAGCTCAAAAAATTTTGGACCCAACTTATCGAAAACCTCGAAGAAAGACAAAGGAGGGGGAAAGTCAGGGTGGAAAAAAACGGCAATCAAAGAAATGACGAAAAGGACGTGGATAAAGGAAAAAGAAAGATTGAGGAGTAAAGAAAGAAAAAAGAGAGGACAATAGAGGACCCACCTTCACTCTTTCTCCTATCCTCTAACAATCACTGTGAATATAAGGGAAAAGGCATGAGTGAAAGGCTCTGCAGAGTGTCTTTAAGGGAGTAAATCACCAGTACTTGACTTGTTGGCAAGAAATTTTTACCTGAAATAGGCAAATGAATGGACAACTCTTATTGTTAGAGCTATTGAAAACGGAACTTGCTTTGGCAATAACGTGACTTTCTTTAGTTTTTTCCTTTGATCCAAGCTC